ACGACGACGACGACGACGACGACGACGACGACAACAACAACAACAACAACAATAATAATAATAATAACAATAATAATAATAATAATAATAATAATAATAACAACAACAACAATACAAGAAAACCTTTAATGTATGTGCTGATGATTACCACTATCCGAGAAGACATGCATTAAATCATCTTCATAAATTGCAATTAATAGCATTAGAAGGACGCCACTACCCATGCCTAAAATTTGCAAGGTAAACTGTTCCAACGATTTATGAGCAGCTGAAATTTCCGGCATCTGGAAGTTAAAAGAGAAGTAAAGAATAAAAATTTATTAGAAAAATTTCTACACAGTTATCCGTTTGCTTCTTTTTTTTTTTTTTTTTTTTTTTGATATGCACCATAAAAGGATTTTAGGTATTTGCATTTTAACTCAGAAATAAGCTGCATCGTGCACTTGGGATCGATCTAAATATATTGGCCTGTCCGTCCGTCTATATATGTGGAACATTTTTTCCGCATCGGAAAAATTAATATTTCGACCTTAAAATTGCTAAAAAGATTGCAAGCTCTTGCACAGCGGTTAGTATAGAAGAAAGCGGACCAAATCGATCAAATACGCCTGTCTACACACACGCCTACAGTGCATCCATAAACTGAGAACGCTTTTGCTTTTAGGGATTTTCTCGACTCATTATTAGAAGAAATATAAACTAGAAAAGGTAAACCGATAAAGAAATGTCAACTTTTTTCGCTAGCAACATCTACAGACGAACCATGCTATAATATTTTAGAGCATTCAAAAATTTCATTTCTTTTTTCGTTGAGTTTTCAATACGAACGGTAGTTATAAAAGATTCGATCGTAGTCGAATGCAATTTTACTTGCTTTTTTTTTTTTTTTTTCTTTCTCTTTTTTCATTTTTCATTTTCTTACCATATCTACAAGCGCTATATATATAAATAAACCTGCTGCGGCAGCAAATATCCACTGTGCTGTTTCATGCGATTGCCCAAATACTATTCCAAAAATCATTCCAATAAAACTTAGAACACCAGTTAATAAATTGTAATAAACCGCTGACTTGACAGACATGCCCGCTTTCATAAGTATGGCGAAATCGCCCAGTTCGTGCGGCAACTCGTGACAAAAAACTGCTAACGATGTAGAAAATCCTCCTGCTATATTCTCAGCAAACGCTGCCCCTAAAAGTGATGAAAAGTAATGAAATGTATATAAATGATTTATGATTTTGTAAATTAATTGAAAATTTAATTCAACATACATACCTATGGCCATACCATCAGTGAAATTATGTAAACCATCACCCATAATAATCATCCAGACGACAGCACTCAATGACTTGGGAGGCGAATGTACGTGACCATGCTTGTGACTGTGCCCGTGATGGGTGGATTCATGCTCCCGCAATATCACTGTCACCGTGCCATTCATTAAAGGCAAACCTTTTCCATTCGCTGTTGTTGCAGCAGGTCCAGATTTAATTCCATCCCCTACAATGTTACCTTCCAAATCTGTAGTAATGCCACTATTGTGCGCTAAATGGGGCTGCTCAGTCTGTTGATGACGATCATGTTGTTGCTGATGATTATTATGATGATGTTGGTGATTGGCCTCCGCTATGGGAGCATAATTGTTCTGTGAAGTTGATAATAAAGATTGAGCCGCCGTCTCGCCGACTTCTCCGTCCAATTTACCATTACGTGTATGAACAGTGTTATCATTTAAATTGTGAGGCAAATGCATCCAGACATCGTTTTTTGTATCCATAGCTATTTCGTCGTAGCAATAAGGATATGAGCTATACTTGGATTTGCACATTTTATCGCCGGCTACCGAATTATTGAGAGAAGAGTCCGGATCGCGCATTACTTTAGCTCTCGATGGTTTCGTTGTCTCTTTCTTCTCTTTACTTTTACGCCACTCAGAGATCATTGTTAAACCGTGTTCCGTAATATAAAAGAACACGATGCCGCTCATACAAGTGAGACCCTTAAATATCATATTGCTCTCCGTTTGGCCAGCCAGAGACTTGAAAATATTCATTGATAATAATTTCCATGCAACATATTGCATAAGCGGCGCAATTTATTTCAACTTACATGAGGCAATAAATGTAAAAGCGCATCGCCAGTCATGGTGCCAACAGCCAACGACACCAAAAACTGTATAATATGCTTGTAAAAACGTGAATCCATAAATGGTATAATAGCAACACCGACCAAACCTAATATAGTACAAGCAAACACTGATACAAAAGCATATATCCACACTATCAGAGAAAAACGAAATCGCAAAATGAAAAATCCTATTATCAGCAAGATTTTTTTTTTTTTTTTGGTTATATAATATATGATCGAATTACCACATAGTATGTCATCCTTATGCTTTCTAAAGTGTTTAGCTTCCAATGAATCGATTTGCACCAAGATTTCTGCTTTTATACATCCTCGTTCTTCCGGATCTTGTGATGCTGTAATCAATTGATGCAGCAGAACCGGACATATATTCATAAGATCTTGTGGGCTTAAGGTATAATTTGAGTGAGTGAACGACTCCAGGGACGCAGTGGCACAGCCATGAGCACAACCATCTTCTGTCGAATTAACGCAAACAGAATGACCCTCACCGTTAAGGTGATGCTGCTGGTGATGATGCACGCAATCATAGCGTTCATGAGGTTTTATATAATGCACCAATTTTGAATCAACAATGCACTAAAGTTTCATAAAAACGTACACATGTATGTGGTCACAAAAAAATACTGCTTAATAGATCAATATTACTTGAGAATACATACGGTTTCGCTATTATATGAATTGCTTTTAAGCGGTATTAATTGATTTAAGCCCAGCCGTTTGAGAAGGTGTTGAAAATCTTCTGCCTGAATGACATCGTCGTCCTCGCGTCCATATTCTTTAAATATGCGTTCCAAGAAAGCCCTCGTGATTTTCGGCCGTTCATTTGAATTGTCTGCAGCCATTAAATCGTCGTGATCGGTATAACGTTTTCTGCGTCGCTTCGTATTATAACTTTTCGTTGTATCATATGGCAGCAGAGAATCGGTGGTGACTCGTTCATCTTCTCCTTTCACATGCGGCGGTGTTGCCTTACTTGCAATTGTAGTAGTATAAACTATAGCATTGCGTTGCGACTTATGCTTAAAATTGTCATCGTCAAGCGATGAGGAGGGGGTGGTAGAGGTAAGTAAACTTTCAACATGTTGTTGGCAGGGCAAATGTTCGGCACACAGTAAACATACCACGCACACAGCCATAATATGACGAGCCATAGTTCATGCTTTTCTTTTTTTTTCCTTTTTTTTTATTTATTTTTTTTATTTATTTTTTTTTTTTTTGATTTTGTGTTTTTCTTTAGAACGGTCCGCTTCTGTTGTCGATAACGGAAGTTAGACTATTTCTCCAGTTTCTGAAAATTAAATTCTGAAAATAATCACATTTTTTTGTTATTGTTGTTGTTGAACAAAACCTAAGGAAAACAAAAAAATATGCGCTGCGCACTTGAAATCTGTGAAATCTCAAAGCAATCGCCAATAAGAGCAGCAATTGAATTATCCATATACGGGAAAATATTAACTTTTAAAGCAAAGATTCATTCGCGGCAACGCCAAGTCTTGCGTGTAGGGGTTTTTGTATATTAGATGTTTTAAATACCCATAGCAATGAAAATGTCATTTGAGCTTATATATTATAGTGAGTGTATTGATCTGAATAGCGGGCATAATCAGGATAATGAATAGATCGGTCTATCTTGTCCATCTTGCTCTTCTCTTATTCTTTTTCTCTCTATTCCTTATTTTCGCTTACTCTCTTTCCCATCCACTCACTCACTTACTCACTCGATCTCTCTTCCCTCTGTCTGTCTGTCTGTCTCTCTCTCTCTCTCTCTCTCTCTCTCTCTTCCCGCTCTCTCACCCCTATCAGTCTCTTACTTTTATTTATTTATTTTTTTTTTTCTTCCTATATATCACATATAATTTGTAACATAATTAAATTAATAGTTCGCAACTGCCAACTTAATAGCAAATTATATTATAACATATGGTTTTATTAATATATTTTTAATAAGAGAACAGCCATCGGAAATTATATCAACGAATATATTGATCATACAATAAATAACAGAATATTGTCTAATATTCGTATTAAATTTCAGGTGTTCGCTTAATTAATTATTTTAACTGTTGCTTTATGTTCATTTTAAATAAAAGAAAAAAAGTTACATGACGTTTACATTATTTATTACAACAAAAAAATAAAAAAAATAAAAAATAAAAAAGAACTATATTTAAGATGAATGTTCCCTGCACTTGTCTTTTTTTTTCATTTTAAATGACTTGCCATTCAGGCGATGGCTTCGAAACGTGTAACGATGCCTTTTAAAAGTGATGGCCGAGTAGGTAGTCGCAGTTGTCTACTAAACGATGCTGAACGCCTTATATTGGAATGAAAATTTTATTTAATTGTTGACATCACTATCGGCTTTTACTTTCTTTCATAAAGTATATATAATAAGAATAAGGAAAATATACGTACATGCAATGAGTCCATTCAATGCGAAAATTGAAAAACAAATAATTCATTTGACGAACAAAAGGGAAGGCGGCTTTGTCTTTCATAAAATATCATTCATCTGCGTTCAGCTGCGTTGACAAACGGCAAGCAAGAAATTTGTGATAGAAAATGGTGGTCTTGGGGTACTTTTCCCCTCGGATGACAAACCCATGCCTTGAAGAGGTGTCCATAGACGTATCGAAACTCTCACCTCCACTTGATGATTTCTGATGTTCGTACTTGGCGAACGAAAAAGAGATTAAGGCTTGACTATCTATAATTCGGTGACAAGTGTTTCTTACTGAGAGTTTAGGGGTTTCCTTCATAAAAGATAACTTCTTTTCTTTCAGACTATTGCTATAGCGGAAATACAAATCAGCTGAAGCAGTACGAGTTAGGTTATAAAGTACGTTGATGTAATGGTAGTAGTCGAGCGCTTGGAGCAGACTATATCATCTGTATCCACCGACATGTATATGTCTTGAGGAGGGATAGTTTGGATTTGGCTAACCTGGATTGTATGGCAGATCCAAAGGCAAGTGACTTTAAGGTCCACAGGGGGTCAAGCATCCACTTTCTAAATATCTCTACGCAGAGAGAAGTCCTTAGGGATGGATTTTTTTAATAGGGCAGTGGTCTCGCTGCTAGATACGACCCTTAGGGGAGTATTGTGGTGACTGCGGTTTTCACCAGACTCTCCAGACTGGGTTTAAGTGGCCATACCCATTAAATAAATCTGGTACCGCTGCATTTAATATTGCGTTACATTCCCCGTGAGTTGATTATAGTTATTATCCGTTACACAAACGTCATCGTTTGCTCACAAATATTACTTCGGTACGATATTTACTTTTCAAGATAAATCGATTTCATACCCGACCACCTAAATTTCATTTCTATATAATTTCTTAAGCTTACAATTTTTCAATTTTAGCTTCTATTTGCAGCAGATTTTACTACATTACATTACGATTATAACCCATGGGGAGCGTGTTATCGAAACCTAGGACAACGCACGTAATTACATAACTACATTGCAATGCATTTCGATTTCCGTTCATAAATTTAAATTTGCTGCAATTTTATATTCACCAAAAAAAAAAAAAAAAAAAAAAAAAAAGATATAGTAATGCGAACAATTATCGAAGGACCATAGACCTGTAGAGTCTGTATAGCCTCCATCACTATCAATCGTTAAGTCTATCTAGGAAACATATTTAGTCTTTAAATCTTTTCGCGCTCGCATAAGGTAAAAATAAATTTTTTTTAACCCTCCGTCCCGAAGGATGAGAACTACCTTTTAATTATCATACTTCGCCAAGGTCCAATTCAGCGGATTTTCAAATTCAATTTGAGGGCATTAAAAAAACAAAAAAAAAAAACAAAAAAATTCATATATTGCAAGGAATTCGTAGCTGAAATTAGCAATCGGCAAAGATGACCCCGCTGACCAAGAACAGATATATATATATACATATATATATTGTGTGGACATTTTGTGAAACATTGAAAAAAATCCAACTTTTCGAAAATAGTTTGTCCGTAACGGGATGTTGCCACAGTTCTTTCTTACATCTAATCCTAAAATATGGTTTATCCTTTTGTTTCTTGCATTTCATACGAGGCACACGTATTCTTCGTCGACTACAATTCAATATTGATTTAACTATGTCCGTTACATCGGTCAGCTCGTTTAAGTTTGGTTACCAAGCTCGTTACTGCAATTTTGATATTCGCCAAAATAAAAATCGGAAAAATGAAACTCCGCTAATGATAGCAACTTAAGCTTAGACAAAACGCCATATTATGTCACATATATATATATATATAAAATGTTTTCATTAGGTAAGAAAATTTAACTTACTATGCCGCCGCATTCATCACGCCGCCCATGTAACGGTATAGTTGATAAAATAGCTCGTTATTATCCGCTAACCAGGCGCACATATAAAATAAGCCACAAAATATAATTTATCGAGAAAGGAGCTACTGACAACACGCCCTCGTTTAAGGTAGCAATGTGCATAACTTTCTTACTTAATATTGCTTAAATATTTCCGTTTTATTTTTCTCACAAAGCAATAAATAGCATTAGGAGGATTATTTAAACGGGCCGCATTACGCGCGCGATAACACTGAAATAAATATCAAATCAATTGCGAATATGGTTTTTGCACAATTCTTGTACAAGTGTCGCAACATACACACGGTGCACAGTAGTTAAGTTAGTGGCTTAATAAAAACAAACACTTGATGAGTAAGTAAGAAACTTGAAAAAAAAATAAAAAAAAAAAAAAAAAAAAAAAAAAAAAAAAAAAAAAACAAAACAAAAAACTATTATATAGTATATATATTGATAAAACTTCAACTTGTGACGATCAATACTCAAAATGTTAAAAGTTTGCAACATGAACACGCACATGCATGCTTAAAAACAGACTTTCTTTCTCTCAAACACGTTATCGGTATAACTGAGCTGGGAAAAATTTTGTTTACTCAGCTATTACGCAGGATTTCAATATAAAAAGGTACATGATACATGACGCACGCAAAAAATGCACACCAACGCCATCGGTCAGGCCGACTTAGCTGCTTAGCTGTCAGTCAATCTATTTTCTGGTGATACTTTCGAGGAAAAGATTTTCAAAATTTTAAAATTTTTTTTTGTTGCTTTCGTTTTTCACTTTTTACCACCTCTTATCTTTGCTTTCTTTTTTAGTTTTTTTTAGTTTATTTTAGTTTTTTTTTTTTTTTTTTTAATGCAAGCCATTAACATTCAGAAGTTTTTCAAGGCCAAGCATAGCCGTGAGAGCTTTGCTTGCTCTGCATATCATCATACATATAGATGTACATCTATGTGTACCGATATAATTTTCAATATCAATCTTTTGATGCCTTTTATGGCCAAAAGATTATAGACTATAGAAGCTTTTGATAGTAAGTAATATGTGATTAGGTTGTATGAGTTAAGCCTTAAATTTATATTAATTTAATAATTCATTTGATCGTGAAGAGTGAACCTACCTTTAGTACCGGTGAATTACGTTAACGACACTACACAGCCAGTGTGAAAATATTTTGTTGCCATGAGTACAAGAGTGTACAAAGTTTTTAAATATTACATGATATTGATAGGGCACAACAGTATTGGGTTGAGATGTTATATCTTCGATTTGGAATCGAAAGAAGAAATTTTAATAAATAGATATCTCCATGCATTAGCAACACTCGAATGTAAATGATTACAGAAGCCAGTAATGAATAAACTTTTTCAATTTTTGTTATCTCGCTTTCGTCTTAGAAAGTAAAAAAAAAAAAAAAAAAAAAAAAAAAAAAAAAAAAAAAGAGTTTCCAAAATTTAAATAATTATTCTTCGCTCGCTATATAAATTCGTTTCAATTTAGTTTAATTGAACAGATGAAAAAGAACTTAAAGAATTTAAAGTTTTATTGAGTAGAAAATCAAGCCGTTTCATTAATGTATCGTAATGGTTAATTTAATCAGTCAGTCGCCGGTATTTTTTTTTTTTTTTTTTTTTTTTTTTTTTTTTTTTAAATAAAAACGACGACATACTCAATTGAAATGTACTCGTTCGTCTCACTGATTGGCTAACTGATTAACTGACTGACTGACTGACTGACTGACTGACTGACTAACTGACTTAGTAATCAAGTGGGTTTGCCCTCCTTTCTTGGTATTGTTGATGTATTTAACGCTTTACTTAGCCACTCAGTCAATGTTTAGCCCACGTCTGACACAATCAATTCAACAGCCGATTTATTCATTGGCATGCTTAGCATATACACGCAGACAAAGAAATTTAATTTCTATTAACGTAACGTATCATATATATAAAGGTAAGAGTGGGGTAATAACTGTTTGTTTGTTTATTTATGCGCACGTAACACGTAACTATTTTATAATTCTCGCTCGTTTCCGATAATATAATATACATATAGTAAAAGTTGTTATTCGTAAAGCATTTGTTGTTAACTATAACATAACCTTACTGTACTTTGTAACGCACAAAACTGTGCACAATATTATTATAAATCTAAGCAAGGGAAAAATATTGCTGATCATAGCGCATTCAAAAAACATTGGCATAAAATTCCTATTAGACCGTTTCCATGAAATTTGACAAAGAGTCAAGTAAGTCAGTCTAGTAAAGAAGCTTCTAACAATCTTGTTCGGATCGAAGTGTGGGTAATATTTCTGTACATTTATATGCTTTTAAGTTAAAAAAAGAGGAAGTATACATATATATATATATATATTTGAATAATATTTTAAAAAAATGCAACACTGGCATCGTTCTCGGGAATTTTTTAATTTAAGCCTCTACCTAAGAAAAACGGAATAGTGAATGAACTTGACATTATAAAATACTCAAATGCAAGATTTCAGCTCAATTCCTTAAAAGCTATATGCTATTCAAAATGCTGACGAAATATTAGGGATACATTGTTAACTTACCCTACGTACATACTGAAAACATACAAAGAGAGTTAACGGATATCCCATCTCCTATACGGTACGAGATTTATGAATCGTCTAATAGCTTCATAATTTCCGACCTGTTCGTAGAGTTATTTGAAAAGTCATATAAGGATTGGGTAACTATCCCTACGAAAATAAACAATGAGATGTCCTCACTTCAGTCGTCCTAAGCGAAGAGGGGAAAGTCTTTAATGAAATCATTAATTTAAAGACTACTTGTTCTCCAGTTCCTGATGGTATTCATGCATGCTCAAGAATTACACCTTTTGCCTATACAACAAACGGCTTACATTGATGTTAGGTGTTTGCAAAAATTTTGATCGGTCTCTTCTACAAGCAAAAATGATAAAGAAATAGGAAATACCAATGTACATAACGGTTGAATTCGTAAGTTTCGAGCATCCTCGATATAAAATAAAATAAATTTCCATTTAACATTATTGATTTATTCATCGTACGTCGATGATGGTATTCATGAAACCGTCCAAATTGCATTTTCGACGTTCATCTGTTGCCGAAACCTATCAAACACGTTCCGAATGTTCAGTGATGATGATTCTGCTCCATCATATCCCAATTATCGGTTTTGCTTTCAATGGTCTAAGTGGTAATGATTTTGAGGTGAATGAGAAAAAAACGGCAAAAAAGAATCAAAAAAGTTGAATCGACCATGAGTTGCACGACTTACGTTGCCTTAAAATGTTCGGAGATTGCATAGTTATCAAATGACAATTCGCACATCACCTTTTCAGACTCGGCGCAAGAACAATTTTAATTATTATGCTCTTAATGGATTAGCTTTGAATAATTACGACTTAAACTTATCGACCGACTATCATTGCAAGGAAGACGTAAAATCTTCAGGGTTACCTTCGTCTCCAAAATAATCGAAGACTACGCGGATACGCCAGCTTCTAGCTAGATCTGAGGATTCATAACAGACGTACCAGAAACTATGACCCGATTAGGCTTTCCCAGTGCCGTCAATTTACGAGTTACATCAACTTTTACGTGCTCTATTCAACTTATATAATGATTCATATACTTGCTCTGATCAAAATTCGTATTCAATCCGAAAAATCAAGTGTACCCATTCCCGATCATAGGATCGATGCGCTTACATTTATTAGCAGCAGCTAGCAGGCAATATTTTATATTTCCCTTTCAATTTTCTCCGGATTGTTATCAGAGGCACACACGCACACACACATTATTCTCCTCTCATTTAAGCAGGGTTCTATACCCGTCACTGGAAGGAAAATGAGCGCGTATTCATTTTGTTTTTTTTTCGTAATGTGAGTAACGCTCAAAAAGAAGCTACAGAGACGCTATATGAAGCGTTTATATGCTTGATCAGTGTGAAATTCTGAATTAATTATGTCATGTCTTTTCGTCTATTTGGTGTTTGTTGTTGGCACTGTCCTGGTCGTAAAAATGAAGATACCGACTCCGAAATTGATAGAATAGATTGGAAATTCTTGCAAATAGATTACTATTGACAATGGGTCAAAATTGATCAGAGCTGAATTGCGGCATTGGGACGTAAATTGAACGCAGCTCCGTTTTTCTTAACAAAATTTTGTGAGTCTTTGCTCATTACTCAGAAATTATAGGAGGTAGAAGGCTAATAAGTTCCACAATTTCTTTACGTGCAAAAATAGAGAAAACCATCCACGCGCACTTAAAGTTACAAGTGAATGAATTTTGTTTTTTTCATTTTTTTGCTTTTTTATCGTAAGGCAAACAAGACTGAATGCTTAGAACTGTTTTGTATATTCCTCGAATGGTGGATCAAATCTTTCTTAATAATAGCAACGATATCGGTATCAAATAAAATAACTTGGAGAGTAGAATGCGAAAAGTATAGTGGTGGATAGGCGAGATGCGCCGAATATAACTTTCTTACTTGTTTCTTCTTCTTCCTTTGATATTAGTTGAATTTTGAAATGTACAAATTTGTATGTAATTAAATAAATAAATAATTTTTAAATTAACTTATTAACAATTAATGTTATTTTAAAGATTTGAAAAATTCGAATAAAAAACTTACGCGTTACAAGCTTTAGAATGAGTTATAAAACATGTTTTTTATTATAAAACATTTTTTATAAATTTTTACTAACAGCGTGCAATTCAAGGACCATAAAAATACCCTAATATTATCAAATATTCCACCTTATTATCTGTCCTCGAAGACTGTTTGTCAGAGACTACCGCTAATGCCGCATCTCTCAAAGACAAGATCGCACATTTTCTCCAGAACAAATCGACAAAACAATATATAATCCGACAACCGATATTATGATCAACTTGAAAGATCTCTGCTAAATTTTTAATTTTTTAGCAAAAGTATTCAAAATTTTGTAACCCTTCGCAGCTTTATGTCTACCCAGCGGCCGTCTTCTTGCAGTTACCCAAACGCATTTTTGTCTCGACACGCTTTTAAGTGAGGCTAAAAGCTTTCTAAATAAATTTCTTAGTGTATTAGAGAAATTAGAAACCTGGAGAAAAGAGATTACTCTGTACCTTTCCAGCAGGAATTCATTTGATGGACGCCCTTGTTTGGAGCGCTTGGGGAAGGGCATGAATTTTCGTTAGGTAATGCATTGTTTTTCCAGATGATTCAAGGCACCTAAGCATTTAGGGATTAAGGCAATAAAAAATATTTGTTTTCGAAAAATTTACTATCATATTACGCCAAAATTCACATATCATTTAATAAGTTAGGATTAAAGTCCAATCGCATACGATTAACATAACAATTTTTTTTTTATAAAACGAATGGAATTTTTTTCTTCCTTTAGCCAGTGCAATACATCAATTATACTCGTGCATATAGAAAGCATAAAAAATTTTATATGTTTATGTACGATTACATATAATATGTTGTAAGCAAGACTCTTCTTATTTTCTGCATTCGTTAAACGATCCGCAATTGCAAACATACATCAGAGACGCTGCAAAAATCTATTCACACTTAATCGTCAAATTGCGTGTCCATCGATCTATCATTTATTATTGGAAATTTCAGTGTCACAAATTTAGAGGTCACATGTTCTTAGTTGAGGGTCACAAAATAAATTTGCATTGAATTATATGAGCACGATCTGAAACCATACCGTTTACTATATCAAGAGTAGAGTACAAACAGCAATTGTGCAAACATATGCCAATATCAATAGCAAGCAAAAGCCAATAGTACGCTTCAAAGCATCAAATTTCTTTTGTGCATGATAAACCATGTTGTCAGCAAAAAGCAAGTTGCCCGCTCCAAACTGTTGCATTCTTTAGTGCCCTAAAAACGTTCGCTAAGGATTTTTATAAGAATGTAATCATTTTATAGCATTACTATATAAGTAATACAAAATTATACATATGTATATAAGTACGTAAGAGGGCTGCTGAAATAACCTTTTCATTCATTCCCATGCAGCAAAAGGCAATTTTAGTTTTACTATTTTACATTATGCAATCAATCAATTTTAATATTGCAGTAAATATATTCTGCACTATTTCATAGAACTCGTCGTTGTATTCTTGATTTTAACCCATCAAGAGAATCTTTATGTAATCGTGCAAATATCATAACTAAATCCGCCTGAGTAGCCGAAGGGGAGGAATCTCGACTAGCAAGTCAATGGTCGTGGGTTCGAATCTCAAGTGCGGTAGAGTTTTTAATAAAAAAGCCGATAGCCTTAGATGCATGCTAGTGCTTTTAAGAGTTTAGTCTTAGAATTTATTTCTCTGGCGAAATTAATAATAATAATAATAATAATCATAACTAAGAAAATAAATTTTACGATTTTTACATATAACAACAAAAAAGCTGCAATATATATGACATAATAATTATTTTGTTCGTTTTCGAAATAGGTTCGAATAGTTTACCTTTTCACTTGTTTAATAATTTATCATTAAATCTTTTCACTTCTATGATCACTTATGTAACAACACATTCCTAAGCAATATTGTTCCTAAGCGGTTATTTCAAAATTGTTAAAGTAACTGTTAGTTAGATTAAATATTTTACAGTTTTCCATCATTCAAAAACTCATTAGTTTACACCTTTGCCTTTATCGAAACAGGCTAAGATTTTTTGCAAAAATTAGCAAAACATTGCTATTTGTAAATATATATTTGCTTGAAAGGCAATATAATCAAGATTCATTCCAAATGGAATACAGATTTTGCACTTGTTCTAACGGTGAAAACAGTTATAGACTGACCGAGAATATAATTGATACGAATTCACGCTATTTATTTATGATGCCGAGATTGTATTGAAATTTTTTGAACGAATCACAAAGACGGAAATTAATTAATAATAAATTAGATAATAAAAATTGTAAGCCCGTAGTCTAAGAATTTTTTTTTTTTTTTTGTTTCTAGTAAACGTCTTTCTTTAAAGTACACACCAAAGTGATTTTCAAAATTATAAACTTGAGACATCGTACCTATGATTCGCCTTTTACCTGCACCTGTATTAAATTTTATGTTATAAATGCTGCGAGTTCATATTCGTTGCTGTTTACTTTGAGAATTTGAAACTTAAACATCTAAGCCCCTAATTAAAGCAAGTATAAATATTTTAATTTAAGCAGATATCAGCACATTCACGTTATTTTTTTTCCCGTTTAAAACGCCTTCACAGACATACGTATGGTACAATTTTGCCTAAATTCCCAATCATAAACTTATCCAATAAATCTTATCATATTTATCACCAAAAAATGCAAGCATACCTAGACTTATCACTTTACTTATAATTGCCAGGAATATAGAATGAATGTCGGACTGTCGGTCAGTTTTTATTTAATAGCGGAACGGGTACATTTTCAGTTTGTAGCGACAGGACGAGTTTGGAAATAAATATTATCTACTTGGGACGGCAGGTACAAGGCCGTTCAAGACGCGATAACTTACTATTCATAGCAAGTACTCATTCAAATCAGAATTTATAAAAATTCGGACGCTCAGACAAGCTTGGCACTCTTTACTTTTTGCCAATTAATACAGAAGTGAGATATTGCAACATTAAAAGCAAAAATTCCTCAAGTATATTCAAAAAATAATTCCATGCAAACAGCTCACAGCTTAGAAAATAAACAACTAACAATTATTTCTTTATTGTTTGAAGATAGTGAACAAAAGTTCACATCTCATCCAAGTATAAAAGTTTCATTTTTATATACAATCTTTCGCAATAACCCGCGAAAGGAAGTGTTTTTGATAATAAAAAATTCAAATGGGACCACAAATATCGTTCAAGACTAATTGCGTTCGATCTACAAGATTGAGCATTTTTAAACGTAAGTCAAACATTGACATCCAAAGTAAACATCAAATTATATATACATATGGCAGCTGCATGTAAGCATTTGTATCTTCGACTTGATTTAATTATAATTCAATACAACTTAAAGAAAACATACAATAAATTGAAAATAGCTGTAGAGTATCAGAAGCTACAAGTGATTTTTTAGGTATTAAAGCGAAAATGGAACTAATAATAACTGAAGAACGAAAAGAACTTTTTTCCAAGTTTCTTTGTAAATATTCGAAATCTCTTTGTAAATATGTTCTCATCGTCATCCAATAGAAATGGTATATATGAAAATATTTCTTATTAATTCTTCACATCTTTTGTAAATTATTAAATCTGGAATAAAAATATTAACTGTTTAAATTTATGTTTTAAGCGTTATCCGAGACCGATCATATTTTTTAAGTAGTGCAACCCTGACCGCACAGTTTCAAGTAGCCACGGAAGATACAGGAATTTGGCTATCAACCTTAAGTGCACAAAATAAATTTTCGGCGAAATTACTTTATACAATTCAGCACTTTAAGTGGAAGATTAAGCTAAAGCTATCTCAGTGTAGGCGTATAGAACTTATCATTTTTGTTGTATACTTTTTAAAGTTTGAATTCTTTTCTCAATTGACAAGATTATGAATTAATGCATAATAAGGAATCAGACTTCACAAATTATGTCTTTAGTAATTAAACGATTTATTAATAAATAATATTAATATATGGATTAAATAACTTGAAAAACTAAATATCTTTCGTGTATATTTTTAACGATTGAAAAATTAACTGTGCATGCATGGTCATTAATCTCGTATGCACATAATTTCGAGGTTGCCTTTTGCAAGTCTTAAATAAAGCGAGAAATATTTTGATAATTATGGAATTGCTTGCCGTATTTCGACATTGTTTGCAATTACGTACAACAACAAGAAGTTAAAAAGTGCAAAAATATATTTTAGATAATGAAGTCTTACCATTTATTTAATGCAAGAAGTAGGAAAATGGTAGCAAGAAAATTATATGGACATATATATACACAAATATACTCGAAAGAAATGAAAAATCTCCACTTTTTTTTTACACAATCCACTACCAACATTTATTATATTTGCACATACGACTAATCAGTTTTCTATACTTTTCCCCCGGCGTATATCAATAAATCCATATACATACATATATATATGCTTTTCTCACTATACATTTCACCATTTCAGCTCAAATTTCTTTCTTCAATGTCCATATAGGAATTTGTCATTTCAATCGATAAGTGTCCTACGCATTGTCGTGCATTATTAATGAAAGCGATTTTATCACGATATAAGCAATTATAATTTGATTGATTTTTTTAACGAACCAATTAGAAATATTTTAGCAATTTTATTCAACCAATTTATTTTACCGCACCAACGCACCACTTAGCAGAGTTGCCAAGTGCGATAATTTCTCTTTAATATATGATTATTACAATGAAATCTAACGTGGACGTTATGTTTGCAAAAAAAATTACGATATTACGATTCACAACTCGCAAACGATGAATAACATCTACGGTATATGTAGTTTTTCTTGTGAATTTTTTGTAAATTCATATAAAATAAATTACTAAAACCGCTTTATTGTGTAAATAGTTAATGTGAAATTTCAATTAATCAAGCATGCTTTCTTGGATAGGCTTATTTGACTTATATAAATTTGAGTCCAGACAATATTTTTTTTATTTTTTTCTTTATTACAATCTGTCGATAAACTATTCCTACAAATTTATTTACTTATTTAGTTCAAAGGAGATATCGTCTTAGCGCTTTCATGGCGTATAGCATTTATAAGTTCATAGTTGACCAAGAAAACAAATCTTAATCCAGCAATCTACGAAAATATACGGAAAAATATTCAATATTACTATATAAATAAGCTGCAACAATTGCACTTACTTCTACAACGCAATTGTTAGCTAGTCGCGTTTTGTTCCCTGTTAATAATGGAACTCCATCTATGAATAAGGGCCGTCTGCCTTCGTTGGCTATGAAGAAATCGCCGTTGCTGCGCAATTTAATAGTGCCTTGCCTTCGTGATATTTTAGTAGCGGGCCCTTCCAAAGATAAATCCACATCTACTATGCAGTCCTTGGCATCGCGACCAAACGATATTTCTTTTGAACGCATAAGATAGCGCACTAGTCGGCCTCTTAAAACTGCCAAAGTTTGTCCATCAAATTCTGGCGCGATACCTACTCCGGTAATTGAGTCCACTAGAACGTTCCAACGACTTAACTCATTCTCAAGCAAACGGATTTCTCGTTTATGTTGACGGTCAGACAACGCCAATTCAATTTCTAGTGCTTCGTCGCGTTGATCATTTAATTCTGCATCCAAAATTAAATCCTCAGCATCTGAGAAGCTTAACGGTTGATCACTGACATGAAGTGGTTTAACTATTTGGTCAGGCAAAAGCTGATATTGTTTCATCATCTGCCAATGATTTTGTAAAGATTTGGCCGTACGGGCGTTATAAAACACGGAGGCATTTTTGTCCAACAAATCTTGAAACTGTTCTAGTTTCGGATTATCCGTCTAAAAACGTTAATGTTGTATAATACGCATGGGTATGAAAGATCTCAGCAAAAAAAAAATGCTTACGCTTTTAATGGTTGTCAATATCTCCTCTTCATTAACGCTGAATAATGCTTTTCTTTGCACAGATTCTACAAGTTCTGGATGTAAATTGCGCATTGCAGCCACTGCAATTCTCGAAATAGCCGGCTCATATAGTAAGGAGAACCATCTTGCCTGCAATTCTGACAAAGTGAATTTGCACGAAAATTTTGTTCCGCGATGCACGATGCGTAAATCATTCGTTTGCAAAATTCCTATGATTAAAGCTAAATCATCAATGGGTTTCCAACGTCCCAAGTCTTTGGTTGGTACTTGGCTTGGCGGACGACCGGTCTTCTTAGTTTTTTTCTGATGGGAACGTGGCGGACGTCTTTTCTCTAAACTTGGAAATGTTGTAGACCTATCCGTGATAGCCGGAGCATGGGGTGAACTCATTGCCGAATTACCAACATTTCCAGTTGAGAGGCCTGGGTTTGTTGTTACTTTTTCCAAATTGGAAGGTGCATCTAGCGATCCAGTTATTGACGAATTGGTAGTGCTCGCTACTGGTTGTAGGACAGGCATGGGAGGGGGAGGTTGTATGGGTTGCACATATGTTTGAGACGTTGTGCGTGGGCGCCCTGCTCGTGATTGATCCCCACGCGATTGTTGAGGAGTAATACTATATTCAACTATTTCATCATCGAAACGTTTACGTTTTATGGAACGGGAAGAACTAATGCAAATAAAAAACACAAAATGTTTCCATGGATTTCGGTCTTCTTTTAGAAATTATACAATCACTTGCCTTCTACGTTTCTGGTCATTTTGCAACTCGATAGGCAAATTTTGTACAAGCGGTGCCGACTGTAAATCGTTTAATACTTCAGTGTTAGTAGGCGTCGCCATTACGACTTTTTGTAATTTAAATCTTTTTAGAGAAAATATAATTCTTACTATCTCACACTCTACACTTAGCTACGATTACTTTAAATAATTATCTAAACAACAAAATAATGATGACGTCGCTAATTCAGAGCTGTATTTATAACATGCAATACGTGGAAAATTGTGTAGTTATATACAATCTATTTTATAATATATAAGAAGAAGCATCACAAATTTTTCACATCAAATTTAAAGTGACGATTCTCTTAGTTTATAATTCTGTAATGATTTAACGAAAGCTCCCCATTTTTTCTCTCGAATTAAATCCTCACATTCCGATGAGGTATTTATTTTATTCAATCGGTGCACCATGGCTCTTTTCACATGAACCGCACAATAATAAATAAATAAAGTAAATAATAAATGGAGTTCTTGTTTAGTAAATTTTTGGTACATTATTATTAAAGCTTGGAATATAACCAACGAATTTTTATAAAGTAAAGTTACATTTCATCCTATTCAGCAATATGAGGTAAGTTGGGTAAATTTAAAAAGGTTCCGATGCAATCTTTACGGAATAATCGATAGAGTAATTTATCACCTTGATACTTTTGTGTAATTAGTTGTTTAACGCAACCACTTGAAGACAGCCCCCAATCTGAAAGCAAAATGGACATTTCTGAGACAGCGTCTTTGGATTCGGCTGGTGCTTCTTCAACAGAAAACAATGATATAGAGAGACAAGAGATAGAAGAGTCGCATATACAACTTGTTAGAATAAATACAAATCACAATAAAAGCATCGCCCTCAATATGCAAACTCCAAATATTTTAGAAAATGACTACGATTTCAATGAAATTAATAAAACATCACTTGATAACAGAATCATTAAAGGTGATGCTAATTTATTAGCGGATTCATTAGCCGCCCAAAAACATAATCATATAGCACGCACTTTGGCCCATAAACATCCATTAATGTTATCGCCTACATGTACGGACTCCGATTCTGAGTTCGATTATTCGAATGCAATACAAAATACGATGGAGCACAACGAGTCTAAAAAGCTAAACAATTATCCAGATGTGGTGCCCAAACGCGAATACGTGCGTGTGCAATTAACACGTCACGATAAAACTGATACGATTCTAAAATGCCATGAAGTGCCGACAGAGCTGTCGTCATCAGCGTTAAAGCAACAGAGTTTAAAATCAGTAACTGGGTTCCGTTCCAACAGTCCCGACTTGTTAAGCAGTGAATCCGAATTAAACTTATCACAGTATCAGGCTACTGTCGAACCAAATTTCCAAGCGGTAGCTTTAACACCAAGTAGAGATACAACTTTAATAAATTCTGGTGTTCAAAATAAAAATTTGAGCATTGCTAAGAAGGTCGGAGGGGAAGATATATCTTCATTAGATTCCATCTCAAATCACAGCTTTGATGGTGAAGATGATGTAGAACACAATTTGGCTTCGTTAAGCCCATCTAGTTCTATAATAGATGACGTAGCGGACGATGACGATGATGATGATGATGACGATGATGATGACTGCGAAGGCCCGGAACTTCTGCCGGATGACGATTTTCAAGAAACAATTACACCTACGCCAGGATGCGTGGCCTCCGTAGGCCTCACAATTAATGGCACAATGAACGCATCAAGCATCGAACTGCCGCAATACACTGCAGATGAAGAGCGCAAAGATTCGCGTAATTGGCAAAAAATTACTTTGCCAGATGGACGGACTAGGGACATCGATATGCGTGTGATTGAACCCTACAAACGCGTGTTATCACATGGTGGATATCTTAAGGCAGGCGGTCATAATGCCATTGTCATATTTTGTGCTTGTCATCTGCCCGATCATTCACGTACCGACTACAACTATGTTATGGACAATCTCTTCTTGTACGTAGTGAAGACATTGGAACAATTAGTGACCGATGATTACGTACTAATATATTTGCATGGGGGATCCAATCGTAGAAATATGCCACCTTTTCCGTGGTTAAAAAGGTCTGTCTTTTAATGTAGTATAAATTTTATTTCATTTTCATGGAATTTATAGATGCTATCAGTTGCTGGATCGACGATTACGTAAAAGTTTAAAAAACTTGTACTTGGTACATCCGACATTTTGGATTAAATCTCTTATTTGGATGGCCAGGCCATTTGTAAGGTAATCCCTATACATATATTTCTATTAAACTGGTTCTGTTAATCATCCTAACGAGAATCAGTACTTTGCAGCAATAAATTTTGGCGTAAATTAGTGTATGTAAAGTCGCTGGATGATCTATCTAAACATGTGACACCATTGGAGAAAGCAGCAATTCCCGAAAAGGTCAAACAATATGATGCCAAAAAGCACTGAATAACACAATAATTCCTCTTAATGCGCATCCCTCGATTAATTTAGCAACAATTCCTAAACATACTCGGAATTTCTCTTTTAAGCAGGCTTTAACTCTTTGTTTAGCATGTGATAAAAATATATCATTTTTTTTTCTTCTAGATATATGTGTATATTTTATTAGATTCTAAGCTATAAAAAACTCGACATTAATTGTGTATTGTTCCATTTTTTTTTCTTTTTTTTTTTCTACTTTACTACTATTACGGATCTCTTTATGTACTATAAATAATTTAATTTTTTGTTGCTAATTTTAAGCAAAATTATACACATCGAATATTATGATAGAAATAAGAAAAGAATTAACATCAACAAATGAACGTGACTTGAAGCATTCCCTTGACCACTGTTCATTAAGTCTGTTTTATACGCGAAAAACAAACAAATCAGTTTCTGATATAAAAAAAAACAACAACAAAAATATCATATCATTTATAGGCATATTTATAAAGGCATAAAATCATCTCTAATATACATAAACGAAATGCAACATTAGACCACCTATAACTCACATACATATATACATATTTAAACAAATATATGTAAAATCTTCCTACATGTTACCTAATAAATCACATAACGACTTATTCAATAAAATCATCATGAAACTATAGAAAATGTATGAGAAAAAAATTTAAAATGCACCTAACCCTCCCCTCCCCCCGCCCGACACAAAATGTAAACCACACACCACTTTTTATTGCTTTTTTGTTATTCAAAGACGATTATTATTGTATTAATGGTAATATGTTATAATAAAATAGATATATGTATACAATTTCACCCGCATGTAGCAGCGGCAACGCATGGAAATCAAAACCATATAATAGTATTTAATTGCATACTTTATATGTGAAGCAATTAGGTTACGATAATCTACGTAAAACAGACTGTTGAAACTCGGAGCGGTAATAGAACGTCTGCCTCTCAATTGCACTTAATTTATCTCATTTGAAAAATACATTTTCACTGCTACTATTTTTTTATTTTGGGAAGGTTCGTAAATGTAAGTTTATCTAGGTAGGCAATTAGTAGAGAGACTGCTAGTAGACCCAATTACCCTATAAAAGAAATTTTTTACTGAGGAATTTTTAATTGGGAAAAATTTTAATTTTTTCATAGCCATATCCGAAAGCTACTCAGCATGCGAAATTTATTATTCCATTTAGATCCGCATCAGATTAGCTTAAAATTGTATTCGTTTATGTGTTCGTCTCTCTACCTTTATTATTGACATTATTCTTGCATATATTCCAGATTCCATTGTTTAAGTTGAATTTAAAAATATTGACTTAAAATTGAAATAAATATTTATACAAATCAGTTTTGGTCTACGGGTCAAACGCTTAAAGAAAAAACGAGGAAAAAGTAAGGACGTTGCTTGAAGGGGCGTTAATCATCGATTCACCGACCAGTTTAACTTTCTTATTAATTCATTTTGTATGTACTTATGTCTTTATGTATTTTTTGGAAAGAAGAAAAATTTCAATTTTTAGACATCATCTTGTGCTACGTACGTAAACATAAAATAAAACAGCTAAGAAATTTTTTTTTTATTGTTATTATGCACGTTTATTAATTAATTATATTTAATTTATTTTTTATTTTTCGCCTTTTTTTCATTGCCTGTAGGCTCTATTATATATTAGTAGTAAAAAAAAATTAAATAAAAAAAAATCTTAATCGCCTGACTTGAAAAAAAAAAAATTGAGAGACAAATTTCATAAATTTTTTTTATTAAATCAGACAGAAATTCAGAAATAATTTGTCATTAAGCAAAGGAAAGAACACATACCTGTTGTCGGAACGTATTCGTTTATTATAAAGTATGTACATATTACCTTCTCTCAGGAGAGCGGTATATACGAGGGTAGTGAACCCAATTTAGGTCTTATTATTTTGCCATTCTCACCAATATGTATTTGACGTTCTTTATCACAGTCACAACCATCTTTCCGTTCATCTTTAACTATCTCTTTAGCATTTTCCGATCTCTCATTGAAGTAACGAATATTTTCTATTGCTTCCGCGATGCTCGCGCAATCGTCATTTCTTGAAATTTCAACGGACGAAGCGGGTATTTTTACAATCTTCCTGTAGCCGATTTCATTTTCTATTCTTTTCTTTTTAGTTTTGCAATAAAGGCAATTACTGCTATTACTACATTTTCCGGTACGTTCAAATTCTGGACAAACAAACTCGTGACGCTTATTACACTTGAAAATTCAATAAAATAATGATATGTATACTATTTATAAGTTTATGCTTATTTATAATTAATATACCTTCTCGGCTAATTGGCAAAATCCTCTTAAGAAGTCAAAACAAATTTCGGCGTTGTCGCTTAGTTTCTTATGCAAATAAGGGCAATCGTTTCGTACACAAACGCCCAGCAGGAAAAATTTACAAACAGGCATTTTGGAAAGGCAAACGTTATGTGATAAAAGGCATTTGGCGTTTAAGCACTCGCCCCGCAAGAATCTAAAATCAAAAATGTGATGGTAAAAAGACAAATTAGTTGCCTACCGCCCCGCCCCGTCACCCCATGCACAAGTTTATTTTGTAAGTACCTGTTGCAAACGTTCACTTGTAGCTTATTGTGCACCTTAAAACATTTGCCCCTTTCAAAGGCTACACATTTGCCTATTCGCTGATAGATAGGACAAGGTACATTGGATTTGGTCAAATGTTTTGTCAGCAATTGCAAACTCCTTTGTTTCGCATTATTAATATAAGCTCGATTCAAATGATAAGTGGTACGAGTAAAGACGTTTTTAGACGTCGAGGTATACGTAATACCACCGATATCAATGCGTCGACATATCGCTGACTTAAGCTTTTCATTTTCATCAGAAGTGGATACGTTTGTCCCCACCACACGTGTAAGCTTGAATTTTTGCGTATCCATCAAATATTTAGTCCCTCTAACATATATACTTAACGGTGTCTTCAGGCTTGGCTTAAGCGTACTTGTCGGCTTGCAGAAGACTTTCGATTCCTTTAATTGTAATGTGTTCCTTGTGGACTTGTACAGCAATCCATTGATATTTAGCAGCTCAATCTTTTTATTAACATTACTTTTGGGCACATTTTTAAAGATGTTTTGCTTATAATTGACTTTTTTATGGAGTGATCCACTGCGTTGAAGGGCATACGGCCCAACAAACGGTTTTTTACTCTTAGCTGGAAAACAGGGATTTGCACCCGAGGCGCCAGAGTCAATAGAATTCGCCACATTTCGTTTGTCTAATTTGTATTTGCTGACGGTAAACGCTGGTTTAGCGACTTCATTGCCAACTTTCCTACGTACCAGTTTACACTTGCCTAAACGGATTAACGGTAGCTGCGAATTCATTTTATCCGATTTTTTATGCAACGGTTCCCTTATGAGACGTGTTCTTGATTTGCAGATGATTTTCCGATGCGTAATTGGAGCAGAGTTATTACTGGTATTTGCAGAGGCTGGCGATTTAGAAACAGAATTACTTTGTGATGGGTTGATTTGGCAGGTGGGTAGTTGCTGCTCATGTAAACGTTGCTCCAAAAAAGCAGGATTCATATGAATATTAGGCGTTTTACTTAATATTTGTTGATGACGTTCCAAAAATAAAGGATTTATATGAGTCATTACTGGCAGATTTTTTTGAAAATTTGGATTTATATATATTGTTTTGTTTTTCCTTCTTAATGTATCCGAGGATTGAGGTAGCATTTCAATTTTCTTTTTAACATATACAAAAAAAAACCTGGAACAATTGTAATATTCGATAACGATTCTATAGTTTTTTTCCTTTTTTTTTTTCTTTGCTGATTAAAAGGTAGAAAAGACAAAGCAAATTGAGACTATTATTTTCTCGTTCATATTACAGTATTTTATAATCAATACGTTTCGCTAGAAAAGAATGGTGCTATCGTATTGTTAACAAAACGTAGTAAAAAAAATTTTAAGGATGCATTAGTGAACTTCATTTCAACAGCTCACCACCGCCTCATATTAAACAATGTTAACTTATTCACCATATGAAGACAGTGGTTTTGCATGTTACATAGATTATCATAATTGTTATTATTTTTGCATTGAAAAATGAATAATTAATGCAGGCATATAAGCCGCTGCTTAGATTCTCAGCACCAAGGAAAGAAAAAAACAAATAAGTAAATGTAGTATATTTCAAAGTTTACGGGATACGATAACATTTGCAAATTATTAGAATTTTAGATAGATATATGTCGATTTTAACGTTCGCGCCTGGCGTGAAGCCTTAATCAGACGTGTTCCGTACAATCATTTGTCTAGTTTAAGTGAGCACCGCTCAGACTTGCATATTTCTGATTGTCAGCTATCACGTCAACGAAATTCATAAGCCTACTAGTAACCTCTGAGTAATATTTATACTTTTCCTAATAGATTAAAGAAAGCCATTTGACATTATACGAGCTATCATTGGCTTATATAGTCGGGTCTCAAATATATGGTGCATCTTTTTTTATGCTGGTCAGAGACTTTTAGGGTGCAACGGAAGAGTTGGAAGCCTCGGAAGTATGATACTATACGCGGAGAAAAAAATGAATCGTTTAAAATAAAGTTCCGTTGCCAACTTACTCTTTCGTGCAAAGTTACGACAGCTACATGGAACACGAAGCCATATTGTCTTTAAGAATTGCAGGTAAGATTCATTGCTTTCGCAACTCGCGTTACAAAAGTCCGCTTGTTGTCCGTACAAATTTCTAAATACAATATATTGCATGCACAGTAACGCATATTCTTCTGTGAAATCTTTAGTTTAGTTGGGTAGTTCGTATCATAGCAATTGTTTAACGTCCGACACGGTTTTTCTTGCAAATTTTCATTACCGATACGACAATTGGTTTTGATCAAATCCATAAAACATCCGTACGATATCAGCTGATTTGCTAAGTATTTATCTTTAGAGTTTGCAGTCCGCCTGCAAACAATAGTCTGGTAACATTGTTTAAATGAAATGGAACAAATGTCTCTGTGTATGAAACGATAAATGCACCATGAAAGAGACGACCCTATTCATGAAAGCATTAGTTATGATTCAACATGGCCGATAATACACGAGAAGTGCGAATTGAAGAGCAATTAAAAGTGAAAATTGGTACGTAATTTCTTAGAAAAAATACTAAAATTCAATAAAATTCAGTGTATAAAAAATTGTTGAAAAATAGTTTTCTAAAATTTACGAAACCAGTTGGATATATGTAATAAACGAAATGCACTGGAATGTGCTGGCATTGTTGCTCTAAGAAGCGCGTCCTCCGGCGTAGGAAATGAAACATTCTTTCGGTCGTCGTTTATACAATACAATAAAAATTGTGAAATACTAAAATTGACCTTATAAAGCTTGTAGAAGCAATTGAATTTTTTATTAAATTATTTTCAAGTGAATCTGCGAAATATCATAGTGAGCAGTTTGTGAAAATGTTGATAAATCTAAAATGAAAAATATTGATGTGTATTGTTGATGGCGGTAGTGGTATTTTGTTTCTATCTCTATTACACTTGTGCAGTTAGTAAGATTCGTGTGTACCATGTCCGCCCATTTGCATCTCTAATAAGTGCTATTGAATGTTTTGTGTTTTAATATTATGTGCAAAAAACAGAAGGAACAACTGGGATGTGTAACAAATTCCAATACATCTGCATTTTAGACGTGATGAATGATTGCGTTGTTGGTTTTCTTGTGCATTGTTGGCTTTGTATTTAGTTATGAATGAAAATTTCGTTCTTCTGGTTTTGTATATATATATATATATATATATATATATATTTTGATTAAAACATGCGCCTTGGTTTACTCACATATCTGTACATACATCTACGCGTATGTATATATAATGTGTTAAGTAAAATATATATAAATTTATATATTTATGTATATATATATATATATATGAGTATGTGCGAATGAATGTATATATATATTATGTGTGTATAATTTAAATGCATATAATGCTGTATAATGTGTTTATTTAAATATACCTATGCATATCTGTACGAGTGTGTTTGTGGGCTTTTCGTGCATAGTTTTAATTTTTATGAATGAAACCGTTTGAGAGTATACATACATAAACACAATAATACGTGTTTCAATTTACAGTATGTGTAATACTTTTATGCATTACTTTTCAATATGGACATTAATTTGTGTGGAAATATGCATTTACACATATATGTACAGTGGTTTACTATTATGAAGAAATTATAAAAAAGAAAATTATCAAGTTATCTCAGAAATGAAAATGTCAAAAATGAAAATGCAAAGGAATGTGACCATTAAGAAGAATATTTTTAGGGATTATTATTTAATATGTCCTTTTCATGGTTAACTGGGTCGATTTGAAGCTAGAAAACAAAATTTTTCTCTCTTTTGCAATATTAATTGCGGATATATGGAGCTTTTTATTCTACCGCAACGCGTGTAAATACAATTAATCGACTTGATAGTCTTTGTTGATTGAACTTTGCCGATTTATTTGCCCATTGAAATGCTATTATTTAGACTCGTTGTAGTGCAGTGTCCCGATAGATTCACGACTCCATCCGTTTAAATTACATTCTATATTTTAAGCGTGTGTTACTTTATTTGAAAATATATTGCGAAATTAAGAACATTACAACAAAGGAAATTTAAATTTCTTGAAAATTTGTTATAAGACGTTTTCCAAACAATCTCTAAAAAGTAAGAACATAACCTGTATGTTGCTAATAGCTATACAAGTATTATATTTTTCTCAGTAACGGAACTGCATCTTGTTTGGATACCAAACCATTGCGGTCTTCTCCTCAGCACAAAAGCTGATGGTCTAGCCAAGGAAGCTTCATTACATTCTCTTCACGAGAAATAGAATAATAAATTTCGGTGTATGCTCCAGTTAGATTCCAACTCTTTCCAAGAATAATATCCGAGTCAAGGATTTTTGAGGAAGTTTTCAACTCTTGCGAAATTGAACTCATACATCGCCTTCTAACTGGTCACACATGCGACAAAACTTATCTTCCCATACGATTAATTCTGCATTTAGTGCATTTGGCTTGAACATTAATAATCGTTTCAGCTTTTTCTCATCTCTTCCGGATTTAAAAAGTGTCTTTTTCGCAAGGAAGGAAGGATTACTCAAAGAGCTGACTTTGAAATTTGATAGACTACTGCATTCAAAAATTATCCATCTAACGTCAATCGTGTTGTATCTGTATTTCAGTCATGAAAGTTGAATAATTTTCTAGTTTTCATCCAATGGCCACAGCGTACAATGTATGCACACAATATGCGGACACTATTTCCCATTATGATCACTGTGTCTATCATCTCTAAGCTTTGTCTAGAAAAATCAATTTATATTAGATTCTTATTATCCATGACCTTGAAATTATTCGATATTTCTCCTTGTAGTCTCTGTGTCTGTGTCATTTTTTCGAAACTTACCTATGCAATATATATGACGTTCGATATTCGATATGAAATAGAAATTCGGTGCTCTGCTGCAATCAATTATTATATACCATATTTTTTGGACTATAAAAACGCACACGTCTACATAGAAAAATGTGGACTCAAATTTTTGATGCGCCTTATGATCCGAAGGAAGGTAACATTAAAATATTTTTTCAATAAATTGTACCTAAATTTAAGATTTGAAAGTACTGACAACAATCATTCTGATAAATGTAATAGGAACGGGGCGAGGCGAGTGATAGTGTCGAGAACGAAAACGAACTGAATATATCTAGCATGTGTCATGTTAACAATAAATAAAAGTTTTGATCCGAAAATAACACTAAAATATATATTTCTGAAAATCCATCTATAAATTTGAAGTGCGTCTTAGAGTCCCAATAATACGATTCATCAGCTAATAGTGGATATTGAAAACTGCAGCTCCAGTCCAATATAATTTTGCTTTCGATTGGATTAGAGTTTTCCCCCGTACGCATAATGCAAAAAGTTGAAGCTCAATGTCAAAGTAATGCGTTTAATTTAAGGTGAACATTATTATGGCAATAGGAAAGAATGTTGATAAACTGGCTTCATAATAATTGCCATTTCGGGAGACATTCATTATAATTGGAAGCGAGTTGACGACACGCTCCTTTTACCAGCCTTCATCATTGTTACATATATTTTCATACATATATCATATCATATGTACGTACACATATATGTGTTTATTTATTTTGGAATGTATTATGTATGTAGAAGTGACCTTAATTAAATATTTAATTGCAGCGTATTAGTTGAATGCGTATATCTTTCTTGACTTGGGGCATACATACACATACATATTCGTATACATTATATATATATATATATATATATATATATAGGCTTTTGATTGAAACAAAGTTTAAATATTAATAATAATGTGTTTTCTAAATGATTTAGATCAGGATAGGATTTCGTAAATAATTAAGAAAACTATTGCATTTTCTTTGTATTGGTGCTAGCAGGATTTACCCCTTTTGAAAACTTAGCTGATATGACTTATCTATTCTTTGATTTTTTAATCTAGAGCTGACTCTCTCAGCGAGTCTTATCATGTGATACGCAACTCCTTGCTGGGCCAAAATCAAATTTGAAATTGATCTTGATCCGCCCAGGCATCTGTAAACACATGTAAACAGTAAGCGTGATAATGCCAAAGTTAAACAAAAACAATGACAGCCAGCCTATAAGAGCAACATACATATTTACTAGAAGGTCAGCGAAAAAGGCAATATAAACAGACTGTGTCGAGCAACTTATGTGCCTATATTTAACAAAATATTTCATAAAAACAACAATGAATATCCGCCCTACACCTGCATCCTGCAATTGTGCATATAATCATTTTTCAAAATAACTCATTTTATGGTAATTGGTCGATAATGGGGTCGGATTTGAACGATCTTCAATGTCAATCGTCCGCAGGACAAAACACATCAGTGTAACCAGATGGATAGATAAACTTAAAGCGATTCTGAATTGATCGGTGAAATAATAAAGGATGAATGGTTATCAAATTCTTTGATGTGTTGTATATATCCATACAAATTGATTGTACCACCGTTTACCGTTGCACCACCACCACCACCACCACCACCACCACAAGTGGTATAAAGCGTAATGAACGATTCGCCCTCAGATGAATACAAATTTCTAACTTGTTATATACCTTTCAGTTTTTGTTAAAAAAACTTTGTGGGCTTCTGATAATAGTTGAGGACTGAGTAACAAAAAATGATGAGGAAATTATACCAAATATGTATTGAGATAATTATGGTTAAATATTGCAAAATTTGGCCTGAAAACGAGAGTAAGATTTCGCGATAGATTTCAATAGCAACTCATTCGAAATCTCGAAACCCGATAACGTACAAAAGTCTACTAAAAGTGAGGTAGTGGAAAACGTTTTTAGTACAATTGATGCTCCAAAGCTGGATCAAGATATAAGCAGAAAAAGAAATGCTATTAAATTTGAGAGCATGACAGCCACGAGAGCAATATTTTCGTAGCTTGAATTCAGGCTTTTATTGCGTTAACTCTTTTACTCATAGTTACTTTGTCGCTAGATGCTTCTGTACGTTTTTGCTAAGGCAGTCATTAAACAATATTTACATTATAGGTGTTTGCAAAAATTCTGATCACTTTTTTCAGTTGTGAAAAATTCCTCACTCTATATATGTTAATCGAAATAGTTTCCATCAATTTCTACAACATTTTACAATATTTTTGGCAGTGGTCCACGCACCAACCCATTTTCGCATTTCTTCAAGTTTTCGGTCCCGCGTGCCAGCCAAACCATACTGCACCGATCTGAACAATTGGAGGAACAGGAGACGCTATGTCTGGTGAGTACGGTGGGTGTGGCTGGCAAAACTTCCCATTCGAGCTGGAACAGTGTAACCTGGACAATTCTTGTAACAAGTGAACGTTGAACCGAAAACCGACAATTGATAGATACGATGGAGCAGCGCATCACCATAAATCTCGGAACGTGTTTGGTGGGCTTCGACAGCAGCTTTCTTCAAATAAACAACAAAAATTAATGCATTTGGAAGGAGAAATTTGAGCGCTCCATGCTTATCGTCGGCGTACGCTGCATAAATCAGTGATATTAAATGAAAAATTGTTATATTATTTAGAGGAAGGTCAACACCATCGAATTCTGTCGCTATGTGCACTAATTGTTCTCATTTTTTGTTTTAATCATTGTTACCTGTAAAAGTCGCTGATCAAAATGTTTTGCAAACATCCAATATATCTTATGGTATTCGTATCTAAAGTGGAAATTTAAGTCGACTTTGCCATGTACGTATATCTGTTGTTTGTTGTTTTAATTCGCTTTTCTTTAAAGCGCACAGCCCTCGCAGGTGATATCATTAAATATGTTTTTTTCTTGCATTTTGCCCGATTTATCTTCTTTTTTTTTCTTTTTTTTTTGTTATATTTAGTGAAACAACCTTGAAACAATTTATCATTCGTTGTCGTATGCGTAGTAATATCTCGATTCCTATCTTTCTTGCAATAAAATAAATTTGATGTGTATCGTTGCGTTGATTTGATGAAACTCCTTTCTCATCATTAAGTTCAACTTTTCATTAAAATTCATTATTTTGCAGGGATTTGTGTTAATTTACTCACATATCTTTAATCAAAGAGTTTTGCGAATAAATCGATTCTCACATTCACTTAGTTCAGTCAGTTATTTGATGGTTGCCCAGCTAATTAATGTATTTACACATAAAACTAAAAAAAAAAAAAAAAAAAAAAATATCAAAATAATAGTACTTTTGTTATATCATCGGCCACGCTCATAATATATAATATATAAAAAATCTGGATATTCGAAATTTTTTCAATTTTTTTTTACCCGTCACCGAAGGTTGAGAGATATATTCATTTTGTCAAAACGTTTTAAACGTCCAGAAGGAAACTTTTCAGATCCCCCAAAGCGTATATATTCGCGATAAATATGAAATTCTGAATCGACTTAATCATGTCCTTCCGTCCGATTGTTCTGTAAACATTTTTCGACTTTAAATTTTGTGAAAAACATTGGAAGTTCTCGCACGCGGATGGGTATTAAAAATGGGCCAAATTGTGCGAAGGTCACGATCCGGAGGATCACGTACACTGAGAACAACTTTGTTTCTCAACACGAATAAAAAATTTTTCACTTTAGTCATTACTCATAAGCTACAGCGATGTTGCGGTATCTGACTGGAAAAGGAAGAATTGGCTACGTCCGCCTACCCGATCGTAAAATGTATTAAAATTTAATCTTTTTTTTTTTCAATACCTTCATAACACGCAGAAGCGGATTGTAAATACCCCCTAAAAGTATATAAATTCTTGGGCGGTTTCAAATTTGAAATGCATCCAAGTATGTTCGTCCGTCCATTTGCCCGTCTGCCCAACTGTGTAGTATTTTGGGGTAAGCATTCTCTCATTTGCAAAAGAATTTGGAAGTGACCTAAATTTTTCAAAGGACACGCCTACAGCGCGTATACCATAAAAACTTTTATTTTAATAAAAAAAGGATCAGCCTCGCCCACTCCCTCTTATAGAGTATGATCTTTTTTTTTTTTTTCAATTTTTTTGTCTGTTTAGGATAACTATGATGGGTATAAAAGACTCGGTCACGACGGATTATAATTTTCTCACGGGTTTTTATATATTTTTTTTATAGCCGTTGAGGATATATTAATTTTGTCGAAACGTATGCATCCCCCCATTCCGCGATTACTCTCAAATTCTGAATCGAATAAGAAATATCCGCCCTTGCGGACTTGCGAAATAAACTGTCAGCTAGTTGCAGAAATTGAGGTATTAGCTTGAAGTCTTGAAGAGACTATTGTCAGCGATGGACCGCCCCCCAGTACATCAGGAGCTGAGAATACAATTGTTTGCCAAAGCATATAAATTGAATTTATTTACATTTTTTTTTTTTTTTTTTTTCGATTTATTTACCTTTTTTTATCGTTGATTGAAGAAGAGATGCATTTTGCTCTCGACTATTCATTCATTTGGGCTCACTTGTTTTTCAATTCCCCTTTTGACGTCCGTAATAATATATGTTATTGGCTACTTTTCGTTCTTTCTCTTTAGGAGAAGCTAAGAATCTAAGTAGCCGTAATGCAGCTAATACAAGCTGCAGCACCCAAGGCACTCGTGATGTTTATTGTACCATCGCATTGGATCAGGAAGAAATATGCCGCACTCCCACCATAGAACGAACACTTTCACCATTTTTTGGTGAGGAATATCAGTTTAAAATACCGCGCCGGTTTCGCTACCTGTCCGTATACGTGTGGGATCGTGATCGTCACATAAAACAGGATAAACCGATTGGTAAAATAGCTATAAAAAGGGAGGAGTTACATATGTACAATCATAAGGATCATTGGTTTTCGCTACGACCCGTTGATTCGAATTCCGAAGTGCAAGGTATGGCACATATTGAGGTGCAATTCGATGAGGGTGTCCCACCGATTAACGAGCAACGTATTAATCTGTTGCGACCGAGTGATTATGAATGTAACAATAGTGAAGTTATTGAGGAGCTAGTAAGCCTACAACAACATCAAGCCTTTCAAAATGATTACAAAGAAAACAATGAACTAAGCAATATACAACGAAACAATGCCCAAAAAGCCCGTAACACAGCAGTTGGCGGTCTGTTCAGCAATCTCCAACAGAGCGTCGAGCAGGGTTCCATTTGGAAAAGTGCGGCTATCGCAAGCAATGCGAAACATTCAAGAGTGATAATAAGAGTGCCAGAGTGCGTAGACTTGTCGAAAAAGAATGGAACTTGCGATCCTTATGTGATGTGCACGGCATTATACTCTAATAAGCGGCAAATATCAAAGCGTACAAAGTTGCGCAAGAAGACTGTCAATCCAGAATTTGATGAAGCAATTGGTTTCGATATGTGCATTGAAGCCGAATCGTCTTCGTCAACGAAGTCGTTACAAGCGCAATACGATGTGAGTAGCGGCAGCGGTACAATTAATTCGAACAAAGCATACACCATATATCCAGTGGGGGGAGCGGACCTTTGCGAGATAACAGTAACGTTGTGGCACGATGCATCGGGCATGTCAGATAAGGTATTTCTCGGGGAAGTGAAAATACCGATGCACAACAAACAACAGCAAGCCGCCGTGCAGACGTCCGCTTGGTACTACCTGCAACCTAAATCAGCGAACACATCGATACGGGCGGTGAACTCAACTGCACGCTCATGCGCCACACCGCCCGGCACACGTTTAAGTGGAGATAGTACAATAGGTTCGTTACGTTTGAAACTACTTTATACTGCCGATCACGTTTTCCCACTCGCCACTTACGATGATTTAATGAACCTATTGCTCGAATCGGTTGATCAACGACCCATAACCCTTTCATCCGTTTTTATATTGGGGGAATTGGTGTCATGCAAAACCGACGTTGCTCAACCTTTAGTGCGTTTATTTACTCATACCGGACGGATAGCACCAATAATAAAAGCGCTAGCCGACCACGAGATCTCCCACCTTACCGATCCCACAACGATATTTCGCGGTAATACGTTGGTTTCAAAAATGATGGACGAAGCGATGCGTTTATCAGGCTTGCATTATTTGCATCAGACACTTAGGCCCGTTTTAGCACAAATACTTACCGAAAAGAAACCCTGCGAAATTGATCCGTCCAAGGTAAAAGATCGTTCTGCTGTTGATACAAATCTTCATCATTTGCAAGATTACGTGGAGCGAGTATTTGATGCTATAACGAAAAGCGCAGTCCGATGTCCAAAAGTGTTGTGTCAAATATTTCATGATTTACGTGAATGTGCTGCCCGTCACTTTCCACGAAATCGTGAGGTGCGCTATTCCGTGGTATCTGGTTTCATATTTTTACGCTTTTTTGCACCTGCAATATTGGGCCCAAAATTGTTTGATTTAACCACCGAACCATTGGTAAATAAATAATACATAATATCGACGTACTATTCAGAGATAGATGGCATCTAATGTCATATGATTTTTGATTTGTATTCAGGATTGCCACACGAACCGTACTCTAACATTGATCTCAAAAACTATTCAATCCTTGGGTAATCTCGTTAGCTCGCGTTCCTCCCAGCAGCCATGCAAGGAAGAGTATACTGGGCAATTGTATAAGAAGTTTTGCACGGAGAAACATCTCGAAGCTGTTAAAAGATTTTTGGAAAGCATTTCCGCCTCACCTAGCGATGATGAGAATAATTTGGCACTTGATCCAAGCAAGCTATATTTAACACGGGAAATTAATCCCGAGCCAGTATTACTTAAAGAGGGGTGCGTTGAATTTTGTTAAGCCTTTTAATATTACATACAAACAATATATATATATATATATTTATATATATTTATTTATTTATTTACTTAAATAATATTAATTGTTGGGCTTGTATTTAACTAACACACACACAGCATTATGACCAAATACCTTCAGTGTCGTAAGAGATTTGGACGACGACCTTTCAAGCAACGTTACTTTCGATTGACCACACAATCACTTAGCTATGCAAAATCAAAAGGCAAACAACCCATCTGTGATATACCTTTGACGGAAATCGAGCGTGTGGAGCAACTAAATGATAAGAATTTTAAAATGCAAAACTGTTTCAAGGTAATATATATATATATATTATATATATAAACATATTATGGATACGTATTTGAAAAAGTACCCACAGATTTACTATTCCTATGTGATAGAGCGAGAGAGAGGTTTTGTTATATCGTCCGCTTTAAATAGTTCAGCAATTAATTAATAGCTACGCGGTCTTCCCGTTCCGATCATGCTATATATGCATATTGAATCAAATGTACAATTGTTTGCTATCAGCAATCAATGTCTGGCGGAATTGATTTAAATACATTTTTTTGGTCCGTCCTTCTGTCCACGAAAACAAGTATTCTTTTTTAGCACTCTTGTCCTAGAACCTTGCAGAACCGTTTCCGTTCATTTTCAGTCCTGGATTTAGATACTTCAGTATCTCTCTCTCTCTCTCTCTCTCTCTCTCTCTCCCACTCTCCGTCCCTCTCTCTCTCTCTCTCTTTCCATTCCATACATCAATTGAATGAATCTTCCTCTCAATTTTGCGAAATGAAATCCTTCGACACAAACTAATGATTGATAGTAAAAAAGTTTGGCCGAATATGGAACGTGTCATAATTGAGATTGTGCCGAATGTCATTTCTTACTTTAGGATGTGCTCAAGTTTGCGTGACGTCCAATGTGTTTTTTTTTTTTTATGTTCTTTATGTTATAGATTATACGCAAAGAGCGTTCTCTTATCGTACAAACTACGAACTGTGTCGAGGAGCGTGAATGGATTGACTTGTTACACAAAATATGTCTCACAAATTCTATACGATCGCAGCATTTTCATCCGTCGGCATTCGTAAATGGCGTTTACAGTTGCTGCAATCGATCGGATGAAAATGCACCCGGATGTAAAAATTTTCCCCCCGAGACAATGAATTACTTTCAAATGGATTTAATAACAGCTCTTGATCCTGCACTCGATTTGCAGCGCATTCACACGCTCATAATGTCGCATATGACACAACTGGAGGCCTTTCTTGATCAAACAGGTGGTTTTCATCATTTGCAACAGCAACATAATCCTCTGTTAGCTACTGCGTTATCTCTGCAACAGCAATCACCACATGCGTACGCAAAATTCAAAGCAATACTTGTACAGTTGCGTGAGGTTGCCTACGTGATAGATAAAGATCATCGTAATTATAAGCAAGGCATTGCGCGTGAATTGAAATACGGCAGTCGGCAGGCACCGATTGGCGATGATAATTATTTACATATGATGCGGACGGCTGGACATATGCAAATACAGCAGTCGCAACAGCAGCAACAGCAGCAGCAGCAACAAGTCTTGCCACAAATGCAGCATGTTATGGCTTATCCATATCACCAACAACAACAACAGCAGCAGCAGCAGCAGCAACAACAACAACAACAACAATTACACGGTAATATGAATGCTTACTGCATGCATTTGCAGCCGCAACAGCATCGACAGCAAATTACTTACTATCAACAGCATCATCATCAACAGCAACAACAGCAACAACATTTATTACGCGCCACAGCCACAGTGCACCATCAACAGCATTCAACAAATGTATCATCAAGTAACTCATCGACGACATCAAGCGTTACACCGGTTACACCAACACCACCGAGCATTTATTCAGAACGTTACGCTAATAAATGTTGATAGTGAAAATTGATTAAATCTAAAACGATGTTAAGATTCTTATGTACAAACAAATTTATATTCATATAAACACATATAAAAATACATACATACTTACATACATACATACATACACGCGAACACACACATATACGTACAAACACATGTACATACTCATTCACAAATACAAATTCGAGTACTTAGGTGTATAAAATTTACAAATACACCCAGCACATGGCACAGGTGAGTCATGGGGAAACGATCTTCAGCATTTGGTCAATGGCTTTTTTTTTTTTTTTTTTTTTTTTTTAAATGAAGAAATAAATACAAATGCAGGTGTATGTGTTTACTGTACGACCATTATACTATACTATCTACAAACGTTTTCATATGTAGAATATATACATACACATACATTTATATGTAATATTTTTTTTTATATATATGTATATATATATATAGCCATTGTACAAAAGGCATGAGAAAATGAAAGAAAGAAACAAGATTGAACGGGAGAGAGTAATGCTGTGCCATGTATGGAACGAATACATTTCCGGCACGTTCGGTAAAAACCTTTATTCATATATTCATAACTACAAATTTTTTTTTTTATCTTTTCTCTTTAAGTTAGAGATTCGTTTTTGTGACTGAACCGACTAAGGCAAATCAAAAGCATTGTATTTTTTTACATACATTAATTGTATACTCTTAGATGTATAGATATATTAAGAAGAATAACAAAACAAATAACAACAAAAAGTAATATGTTAAAGTTCAAATTATAAATTTAAAAAAAAAAAAAAAAAAAAAAAAAAAGGAAAAAAAAAAAACAAAAAATAAGGATAAACAAAGCAGGTGTTCCATTATTTTGTTTTGCTGTATGTATATGTAAGTTTGCGCCGCGCACCTATTATGTATTCATTTAAGCTCATGTATTATATACACGCGTCGATGATTTGTATAGGGTGCAGATGCGCTACGAATATTGGAATTGACAAAATAATGAAACAAGCATCTAATGATATGTATTTAATACAAAATTAAATCTTAGGAGTAATTTGTAAACTAAACATTAATTGAAATTCTATTTATTTTATATTAAAACCATAAACACATGATTATCTGTTGTACAAAAATTAACTTTTTATCTATAACTTTTTAAGTTAAAAAATAAGCAAGTAAAAAATCTCCCACAAACACATTAATAAACAAACAAACAAACAAACAAACAAATAAATTGCTACATTACTACATTTACAATTTTCGATGTATTTTACCTCTTCGCTGAATTGAAGATGGTATGCATTTCGTATCCTGCCGCCAGTGGCGGGCGGGGCATCACAAATATGAATTGTGTTCAAGACTAAATAAAAGAAATGTAGAAACTTAGCGAATTAAAAAAAAGAAAACCAAAACGAATGTTACTAACAGCGCTAGATAGCTGATATTAACAGAATTATTTGTTTACCTTAACGAGTATAGCTGCTAAGAATGTTACTAACGCAGTCAGACAGCTTACGTTAACAGAATTATTTATTTACCTTTTAGCGACAATGATCTTTATTGGATTTCATAAAGTCCGGAGAATTCCAGTCGATCCATGTGCGTATGGAATTGTTTTATTATGGGTTCTAACAGAACGATACTTGCTTGGTTTGGTGGCCTCATTATTATTTTTATTTTATTATATTTTATTTTTTGTTTTTTATTTATTTATTTTATTTACTTACACATGCAACTTAACTAAGGTAAATTGACACTCAAATTTAATTGACTCTTACAAGTAAATCTTATATGAAATAATATTAAAGACTAGTATAAAGTATATAAGGAGAAGTGAAGAAAAATAAAAAAATAGTAATAATTAAACAATAATTTATGTATAAATAAATAAGAAAAAAAAAAAAAAAAAAAACATGTACACAACTAGAACAGAGGCACACCCACAACCTGTACAGAATCAAATTGCAAGTCTATCCCTAAGCCATCGCAAACATCGGAAAGCTTGTCAACCGATACAGTAATCAACACCAATTAATTTTTGAGATATTACAATTAAAAGTTAGTCTAAATACGACATAGGCAAATCGCGCGTATTCAGCAAAGCTGTTGTGTGTGTGTGGCTTTAAAGAATCCGATATTGGTATTAAGTGATAGACATCATTTAGGTTTCTGCAAACAACATTGAACGAGCTAAGCAGCTCATAATTATTATATTTATTTTGACTCAGCTTAATGAACGTAAAGTGCCTGGACAAGCGGTTGCTTCAAGATTCAAGCTCTCACTAAGTAATATGGACGAATCGATAGTAACATTAATTAAAATTAATTAAAAAGGACACAGCAAGAATAAATTTAGGTGTCTCAAGTGATGGTAAGGATCAAAAAAGCAAACTATATTTTCATAAGGAGAGACGAAACAAATTCCTAATGGACAGACAGGAATCTACATAACACCTATAGGAGGAAGGAGACAACAGAAGCGAGGTATACTCAAGTATGGGTCAAAATGGGTCTAATTAAGCCCATGTATAGTTTTTTTTTGTAATGTAAGGATCCTTCAGCTCTTTGGACCATCTCTTTATGAAACCAAGCGCGGACCTAGCTTTACTTAAAAAGAGGTCAATGTGCAAATTAAAAGGTAACTTTTGATCGAATAGAACATCTAAATCAATGAACGAATCAACGTTTTCCAACTTGACTTTCCTCTTAAGGAAGAAAGTTTCTTGCATTTTTTTAGTTTTAATTTCATTAAATTTCACAAGCACAATATAACCAAGTTATTTAAGTGAGTTTAAAGTTGATACGTTTGCGATTCCAAGGCGAAGAAAGAAAACAGTTTAACATAGTCAGCGTACAGAATTTGTGGCAAGGGTTTAACGTGGGTTCCTGCCTGTAAGGCTTAACCCCACGGTGGCCCAAACCACTTTTTAAGCGTACTACGCCCCCTGGCGAGTTAGACAATCCCCACAGAGTAGGGGCCTAAACAGCACCAGAGTCCAGATCAGTTTATTGTGTATGGAACAATAAACCCCACTCTGGTGAGTGGCGAGGGCCTAGCTGCACTCATTGTTCCATTTTTAGCTAGGAACTCGCCAACCACAACCACCACGAGTACTCCCCGAAGGGCCGCACCCAGTAGTCAGGACTCACCAATTGATCAACTGACTGCTTCCGCCATAAGGCTTCCACTGTGCTTGTTGATCAATTACCACCTTTACCCGCAGGCATTCATGACATGTGTTCAAAAGTAAAAATAGTCAGCGTACATTAAGTTCTGGCCGGATATACTCGTCGAGGGGTGATCATTAATATATGGATTAAATAAAAGTGGTACCAAGTGGCTGCCTGGAGCGATGTCAGAATTATGAATCCCTCATAAAATTAATTCAAAGACATTTGTAAGTTTCTGGGTTATGTCAAATTGTCTCGGAATATATTTTGTGTTCACTAATATTACATATAAATTGAAATAACGATCTACTGATTTCATTTCTCATACATAGGTTCCTAAGTGATGTTAATATTAATTAATTAAGAGCGTTTTATTCTAATAATATTTAATGTAATCTTTTTTTTGCCAATTTTAACGACTTACTCGAGGAGGCGAACCTCCCTGAATGAAAGAAAAGGCAATATCGTTCTTTTGGAACATTTGTAATGTTGTGGCTATGTAACGTGCAGTGTAATTGATGCTAACTTACATAAAAAAATGCTGGGATCAATTGCTGGGGTCGGTTTACGCTTCTACTTAGCGAGTTAACTTGACAGCAAATTTCCAATTTGGATTAGTCGTTCTCGTTATCGATCAACCGTAATACCGTAATACGATAGCGTATGAGTGTTTGATCGGTGTTTGCTTTTTCGACTATTCCCACATGTAATGCCTTACATTAAAAAGTCGTTACATAGAAAAAAGATCGTAATTTTCAATATGTTTCGTCGAAAGTCGCTGAGTAGTAATAATTGTAGATTGGTACGAAAAATTTGATTCCGTTGGGACAATTTTTGGAACCCTCTCTCATATAACCGTTCTTATGAAAATTGAAAATCTTTTTATGGTAAAAAAGTATAATTTTCAATATTTCATGGTAAAAATTGGTTCGTATTAGTAAATTGACAAAGAAATCAAGCTTGACGAACTTGGACTACGTAGGTTGTTTTATTGAATACCATCACATATAAGCATTTTCATGTAATGTAAATCCTTACATGCCAGAAAGGACTAAATTGTTAATGTTTTATCACGAAAACACTGACATAAAAATTAAGTAGATCAAATTTGAATCGCATGGGTCTAGTTTTTTTGGACCCCACTCCACTCCACACTAAGCCTTATCATGAATTTGTCAAGAGTCCTTAAGAAAGAAAAGATTTAACTTTTAGCAAATAACGGTAAAGAATTTGAATCACTTTCGTCTCTTTCTTAGATCTCAATACGCATATGCAGAGATTATCGTGAGACGCAAGCGCTTGCAGGGAGAGAAAGTGTAATTTCTATTTCTCATTTTACTACGGAAACTGAAAACAATAATAATAATATTTTTGGGAAGGTAATTAAGTTTGCTTAATTCGGATCACGTCATGTGATGTTTTGAATATCCTCCAATAAACGGTTTTTCATGGAAAGTATGCCTTCACATGAAAGTGAATAACTGTATATAGTATGCGAAATTGATGTAACCTATCTGGTCGGCCTTGACCGAATATGATATTCTTATTTGCTTTAAGGTGACTTCTAGCTTCTCTCATAACTTGCAAAAATATTACAAATTAATTATAACCCCTTTCTCGAAGGTTCTTTTTCCCCGTATTCCAAATTTTCGAAAGCATTTTCCTACCACATGTCAGCAAGCATTTAATTTACTCCAAAATTCTGCACGATTTGTAGAAAAGTTATTATGCAGTTATTTTTAAAACGCATAATGCACGCATATGTGTGTCTGCGTAAAAGAAAACTAGATAATTGCTAATCCCATGGCTAACACTAAGCAAAAATTTTTCGCTTACATCCATATAACTAATTTGATTGTTCTTTTTTTATTATTTTCTCAATTGTTGTTAGGCAGAATGTGGGAGCTTTTAACGAAAATATTCCTAGGTCAGGAGACCTATAAACATTCGTTCTACGCTTAGTAAAAAAAAATATTTATTTTGCATTTACTAGAATATATTTAAGGCAAAGTAACGAAAGACTTAAGACCAAAACACGATATTTGCAAACGTGTTACATTTGTAGTTAGCTCCTTAAGCTATGCTATAAAGCGTTTTGTTATGTTCAAGAATTTTTTTATGCTAACAAAGCTGTGAATGGTGTCCCTCTGTTAAAATGCAAACACGTCGGCAAAACAAAGCCACACCTCTGTTCAAATGCAAAGCCGTCGGCATAAATGTTGTTGTTGTTTCATTCCATTGGTCCATCTCTGCTTTGGTTTGTGTCCAGAGCCCCCTTTAAACAAATCCCCTCAACAATATTAAAATGCAAAGCCGTCGGCATAAATGTTGTTGTTTCATTCCATTCGTCCATCTCTGCTTTGGTTTGTGTCCAGAGGCCCCTTTAAACAAATCCCCTCAACAATATTGAAAAATCAATTTTCGCACATTTTAAACGCAGAGTTGCATAAAAACTTCGTTATAGTTTTTTCTACTGCTTGCTTTTGTTTCCGTCATTTATATATTGTATTATTTTAGATGAGAAGATTGTCTGAAATTGTTATTGCGTATAAAGATTGCTGGGATTGTCGTTGTATAATTTTTTACGTGTATTAATTTTTATTTATGTTTTTTGTCCTTATCACTCCTTTTCCTAATGTTATTTACAAAAATTTCAATTGCAGCCAGCTAACGTGGAACAGAGTAAACGCATACAAGATAATTTATTTATTATTACTCATGTGAAAGACTCATTGACTGTTTACTAACTAAGTGACCTTGAGTGCTACAGATGGTCTTTTTACAAAACTGATGATGATATTGAATCTACATGATGAAGATGATACCAGAAGTGAAGGCGAGAATATGTTTTCTTACTATTATAAAAACTTAAAACACATGTCCCGTAGTGCTTCCATCGATTTAACCATAGGTAAACTACCGTTATCTATGGGAGGGCCAATAGATATATATATATGTATATATATATATATGTATAAATATATGGGTCTTTGAGTCTTTGTCTAATTTAAAACGGACAGACATATGGAAATGCATACAAATTGACAAAAACCCAAAGGTGTTTAAGCGATGATGTTTTACATTTTAAGTCAAAATTCATTTACATTTTAAGTCCATACTACGTTGTTACCATTTTGACTGGGGGAAGTCTTTCTCAAAAAAAACATCTACTTGGTTTTTATAAAGCTTTTATACTCAAACATCATATGTTAAATATTTTTTTTACAAAACAATCCAAGTGCTATCTAAATAAATAAAAAAAAACATATATATATATATATATATATATATATATATATATATTTGTAAATATCTAAATAAACGTATGACGGAGAAGTGTACATTTTCTTAATCTAATTTAATAAATTCTAACTTAATAAATTCTTAATCATATTCACAGATGACATACAGCCATAGCTGAAGGAAAGGCTTATTGGTCCACAAATATTTGATCATAGGAAATGTATTTACAGGGTTATTGCCTATATATCGGGCAACACTCATCTGATTGTTTTAAACGAATATGCGCTTAATAGGTGACATTTCAGCTTGTTTTTTTTTGTTGTTTTTTTTGTTCTTTGCTCTTGTAAGAATGCGTGAAATATCTGAACAAATACGCTATGTAGTGCTTTTTTACTATAAAAAAAGTTAAAACATGCAAAAAAATGATAAAAAATTTATCAAGTGTACGGTGAGTTAACGTACCTAGGACCCGAAAGTGGTTTGTTCGATTCCTTTCCGGAAATTTCGATGTAAAAGTTGCATCTCGCTGAAATTTTGTTACTGATGAAACAAGACCGGCACATAAGCTGTCAGAAATAGGTGAGCCATTAACAGTCAACCAAATGGCAGTTTGGAATCATCTGAAAAGAGCAAGCTATCAAAAAGGAGCACGAAACTGCGGAAAAGACTGCGCGAAGACTTTTTATATGACCCATTACATGGTAAAGCATTAAAAAGTCCGTTATAGAACAGCACGTGTGGAACTCAATTATATGTATATTAAAATTTTTATGATATCTTATCTGATCGTAACCGGCTACACCCGCTCCTTGGTAATTTTTTGTTCTAAAGATATTTGACGTTCTTTCCTACATGTGCGCTCGTGGGCATAGTAGAAAGGGAAAAAGTAATGGTATCTATGTGAGAGTCGGAAACGTGAGTTAAGAAAACGAGTCGCGGTAATGTAATCCACTATACAGATTTTAGGATAACACAAAGTGTTAGTATACAAAGAACTTTTACCGTTATTGAATTTCGGACTCCATTTGGATGGCAATTTTACAAGGATTGGAGACTGTAAAATGTACATGTGCATGTCTCACTGATGAGCTAGTTAGTTCGGGAGAAATAGGGGGGTTTCAAATTTTATCCCATAAAAAGCAAAAAATTATACCTGCTATAACCCATATACGGACCAACGGATGTACGAAACTACTTAACGAAGGGGTTGAACGTTCGCTCTGGACCACTGTTTAGCTTGCCCTATCTATGATCTCCATCGGCCCATGATTTTCAATGGAAGACCCCGGATACAAACGGGTTAAAACGCTAAAAAGGCAAAATGATTTTGATAATTACATGACCCATAAACATTATTAAAAAAAATTAGCACCTATAGCATTTATCAATCTAAAATTAACAGAAATTTAAGCAATAAATGCCCAAATACTCCATTCGACTGGAAACTGGAAATAAACATTCTGCTAATATGTAAGCCTTAGTTGTAAGCCTTAATTCCGAAAATGTATACCAAATGAGATTTTAATCCCTTTTTGCCTTCACCCCCCACATAATAGTCTTTAAAAGGATTTCAAATAAATTGCAAAAGTCAGCAAAAAATTTGTATTAAATGAACTTATGAATGTTACTAACAATGTATGTGTAAGACGCTATACGAATATGCAGTCGGTCGTGCTGTTAACGTAGGACCTTAGGAAATTTGCATTAATTTGATTATAAAGCGGACCCAGGCTTATTTTTATATAATTTTAATCATCGTATATTTGCAATGAAATTGAAAACTAAAGGAACGTTGTAACAAACGTAATACATTTTACAACGCTGTTTATCGCAATTATGCGATTAACATTAAAATATATATGACAATTGGCATTTACACTAACATATCGATTGCAAATCGTAATCGGTAATGCGGTATTCCAAACATGAGAACAGCTATTATTAGAAATTGTATTATGTTTGTCGATGCGTTTGTAGCATACAGAAATTCGCTTCAAGCATCCGGATATATATGATTAATATTCTAAACGATAGTCGGAAATCTGTGCACTGAAATCGTATATAAAACAATGTTTGTTGCAAAAAGCAAACCTAAATAGAGGAGAAAAACCTGATCCAAGTCAGACATTAGGTAAATAAACGATATTAAATGGTTCGAATAATTTTGGGAAACTTTTTAAAGATATGCATATGACTTGAAGCACGTTCTTAAAGCAGAGATGTCTGTTTAAAATTTCGCACTTATTTACAATAAAAATGAAATCGACTAAATTTTGATTCATTGTCAGGCCCTTTCTATGCAATATATACTATATGTATGGTACACATATATACATATATATATATATATATTTAAAATGATTAATATACTTATTATTTATAAGACTATTAACTTATATTGAATCGTTATGTCTATTTGGGGATTTCGCCTAATGAAGAATTTCGCTCTCACATTAAAATTGAATTGAAATTTTACGATTGTAAGTAAGCAAATATTCGGCCTGAGCCGAGGATAATAATAAATTTCTTGTCCTCAGTTGTAATGTAAGCCGTGAGCATTCACTGCAGTTTAGAGAACGTATTCAGAATTTAGAAATTATCTGTAATTGATTAATATAGTTAAGAAAAGTTAGTTCGGTTTACATAATTTTGTACTTTAAAGCGAATCTTTAGATCGGTGAATCGCAAATAGTCAATTTGAAATCGGAATTTGTCAATTACATATATATGTGCAAAATCTCTCTATAAATCTTTTAATAATATACTGCTTAATCGTTTAAGAAAGATTGTCTTAAGCTACAGGTGAATCTCCGGCTCGTATGTATATGAATAAATATATATGTATGAAAATATGAAATCCTTTGCCTTGTCGCGCTTTGATTATTTTGCGGTAACCAATATACAATCAAACTATGAAAATAATGTTTCATATATTTATATACATATATATTTATATTCTAGTTGCAAAACATTTGATAGAATCAGCTCCAATCAATATATTAACAATGTTATTGTTAGGTTAATCAAGCATTCAATCCATTCAATATAAATTTAAGGTGCAATATGTCGGATGTAAAAAGTTGACTGACGGAGAGTGCAATATTGAATAAAAACACCGTCTCCAAGCCAATTACGTTCTGTGCATCCACTTGACTGCCTTAAGGGTGTTAAGGGAAGGGGTTAAGTCATCATCATCACCATCAGCTTATATCGATCGATTGATTTGCTATTCTACTGGTTCTCAGTACTGAGTTCAGCGTGTGACCATGGAATTTGTTGAGTTGATAAAAACGCCGAAACTGGACGGCGTACTTTTACATGACCATTTACATGCAACAGTTGAAGGCACACTTTGCATTACTGGTCATCATTTACTGCTCTCCGCACGTCAAGAGAGTAGTCAAGAATTATGGGTTAGTGCGTGAGAATATTTGTGTGTGTATGCATGTATGTATATATGTATGTATGTGTGTGTGCCTGTATCTGTTTATGAATTAAATTAAGCAAAATGTAATTGATTATCATGAATGAACTGTCGTTTGTTTCGCAGCTAATGCACAAGAATATCGATGGAGTGGAGAAAAAACCTTTCGTAGTACAGAATGTCTTAATGGGTGGCATAATAACATTAAAATGTAAGGATTTGCGTATCATATCGTTGGAAATCAAATATGCTAAAGAGTACCTAAATGTAGCTGCATCACTGGAGGCATTAAGTTCACTGCACAATCCCGAATTGGAATATCCATTCTTTTATCGGCCAATGTATACCATACTTGAAGACGGTTACACAATGTTCCGGTACTAAGCGATCATTAGTATTTAATTAATTTCATCATTTTAATTTTTGAAATTTTTTTTGCTTTTAGGCCGGAATTGGAGTTTGCGAAACTCGTAGGCAGTAGCAGTAGTGTAGGCACTTGTAATGTACCGGTAAATTCTGTCGCAGCAGCGAATGGTTACGATGGTTCTTTAGGCTGTGAGTGGCGTATTGCTCATATTAACAAAGACTTTAAATTATGCCCAACATACGGTGCAGCACTGATAGTACCAAAATGCATTACGGATGAACAAATTGTACAGTCCGCCACGTTCAGAGATGGCGGTCGATTTCCAGTTCTTTGCTATAGGCATGAGAATGGAGTAAGTGCACAATGCGGTTAGGGATTTACAAAACTTTAACAATTATTTTTATTACTAGGCTGCTTTGTTACGCAGCGCTCAACCTATATCCACGCAGAGTATGAAAAGATGCCGAGCCGACGAGGCAATATTGAATGTGGTATTAGGTCGTAGTAAGAAGGGCTTTATAGTTGATACATGGGGAAAGGGGAAATCAAATACAGAAACAGATCAACACTACTCGCAATGGAAAAAAGTCAATCGTTCTATAGGCAATATATCTTCGCCTGCAGCGATTTTAGATTGTTTTGCCAAAATGATTGAAGGTAATCAATAAATCTACGCTTATGTATTTATGTATTTATTTCATCGTATACGAACTTTATTCACATATATATATATTGTATGATTGCAGCATGTAATGATACCGCTTGCACGTCCGACAAATGGCTCTCGCGTTTGGATGGCAGTCAATGGTTAAGTTTGGTTTTAAATTCTTTAAATGCTGCCTGCGTGGTGGCCCAATGTTTAGACCAAGAGGGCAGCCCAGTGCTGGTGCACGGAGCAATGGGTTTAGATTCAACTTTAATTGTGACATCATTAGTACAAATCATACTAAATCCAGATTGTCGTACAGTAAGAGGGTAAGAAAAAATTGTAATAAATTGTAATAAAGCAAGAGATGAAAATGTCAATTTATATATAATGGTACTCAGGATTCAGGCCCTTGTAGAACGTGAATGGATTCAAGCTGGTCATCCATTCGCTTCACGGCATCAATATTCGTGTTACACACTGCCTCAAAATCGACCGAAAAATTGTGGTGCTACATTTCTCTTATTCCTAGACTGTATTCATCAGCTATATAAACAATTTCCCTGCAGTTTTGAATTTAATATACAACTATTGATTTTACTCTTCGAGCATAGTTACTTCTCGCAATATGGTACATTTTTATGTGATTCGGAGCGTGAGCGACACGAATTGCGCGTTCATACTCGAACTACCAGTTTATGGTCATATCTAAATAGACCCGATGTACTTAAAAATTTACTCAATCCATTATATGAACCGAATCCGAATGTTATATGGCCATCAGTTGCTCCAATCAGTTTGGAATTGTGGCAGGGTAAGAGCATTCATTTTCATTCATATATTTATTCTAGATATTATATGTCTGATTAGAACTCTATCTGCGTTGGACTGTCGATCAAATAAACAGTGAAAGAAATCTTGCACAAATATTACACTTGGTAACAACAGAGAAGGAGCTACGCTCGAAGGTAAATCTAACTAGAATTATTAAAAAAATGATAGGCAGTTTTAAAATATTTTTTTTTTTTTTTTTAGGCTCTCAAATTGCGAAAACAAGCTTCGGACTTGAGATGTGAAATTTTAAAATTACTTAAATCAGGAAATTGAGATCTCTTCCTATTGTATACAGTCAGTCTCTCTCTCTCTCTCTCACACTCTCTCGCTGTCTCTGTCTTTCCCTCTCTCTTTTTCCTTTTTAATCTCAAAGTATTAAATTATTGTAAATCTTTTGGACAAACAGCTATGTATATATATTTGTAAAAAAAAAAAAAAAAAAAAAAACCAAAAAAAAAAAATCAAAAAAACAAAAAAAAAAAAAAATGAAAAAATATTTTGAATTACCTCTTCTCGAAACTTAATTAATAAATTAACGCCAGCATTTATAAAGAATTAAGAATTTTTGATTTGATTTTTATTCGCATATTTCGAAAATCATTTTACCAAAGATAACGAAGCAAGAAAAATGGTAAGCTCTACAAAATGCTTTCAAAAAACAATTTTTAAATTCGCGATGGCCAACAATTTATGTTTAACGTGGTAGTGTATAAATATTGGTAGCGATATTTTAAAGATGAAAGTAAAGCAAAATAAATCTTGTTGAGATAATCGAGCTTAGTTGTGAGTAGGAGGAAGGAAGTAACGTTTGTGTTAAAAGTGCGTAACTTCTGCTTCTACGAGAAAGTTTGCGTAACAATTGCTTGTAAAACAAATAGTTTATCATAGATGCAAAATAAGAGAATTAAAAATTTAGAAGGAAGAATCCAAAAGCGATTACGCAAAAGTACCTTTACCTGTCCGTTGCTATGCGTTATGATCATTTCAAAAATTGAATATATTAAGGCAAAAAAAAAAAAAAAGGAGAAGAAGAAGAAGAATAATAATAATAACTATGATTTTATGATAGGACGTAGGATAGATAGATAGATAGGTCGGTCACCTAATCAATATAGTATAGTAATAAAGTGAATTGAAATTTCCAAAAAGATTTTGTTTTGAAAAGTTGAATATTTTTAAATGCCTTTTATATTGATGAAATGTATTATTATGGCAAATGCACTTTTATTAGTGATAAATATAAAATTAAATTACACTTAAATTGTCCTTTGGTTAATTACTTAATTCATACGTACATACATATGCATACAATTTAAGTATGTATATAATACTATAAGTAGTTTTACACTTACGCGCTTACGAAATTTCACTTTTATACAAAAAGAACGAAATTAATCTGTTTACTAATGAATGAATGGTCTTTGTTAGCTCAAATGGATTTTTTTTTTTTTTGTTTTTTTTTTTTGTTTTTTCAATATATGACACGTTTTATCCTACATACATACATATTAAGTTCAATATACTTTACACAGTTAATTTTATCATTAATCAGATGAGAGTTTATGTAGATCAGCGTAGTTGACAACGGCGCGATGTAGGAACTCGTATTGTGCCTGAAAATAAATAAACATTAATTAACTTAATTAATTTAAAAATGTTACAAATTAACTAATGTGTGTAAAATATATTATACATATATATATATATATATATGTATAATATATATATATATATATATATGTATATATATATATATATATGTGTGTGTGTGTGTGTGTGTATGTAAAGAACAATTAAAAAAAAAATATATACAATAAATAATATCTAAAGTCTTAAGACTGATAAAACGCAAAGAGGCGATATAGGCATTGTGCTGATTATTATAATATACGCGAAGTTTTTTTTTTACATGGTACATGGTACATACGTTGCCTTCGAAAACCGTATAAAACAAATCGTATAAGAAATCCATGCGACATATAAAGTAAATTTATAGATATATATACTCAATAACGTTAGAAAATCGTCTAAAATGAAATAATTCGCAAAACCGAGCAAAAAAAGTAATAATGAAATACTTAATTCCAGCAACGAATTTTACAAATTGTCATTATTATTATTATTATTATAATTGATAATTTAGTTAGGGATATAAATTGTAAGACTAAAGTCTTAAAATACAAGCATTTCAGGCTATCAGTTTTATTGAGAATTTGTTGTGAAAATTCAGTCCATAAGTTTAGCATATAAAAAATTTAAATTGTATTGGGTAATAAAAAACAAATTTCGCAACTATTGCCCGCTGCTTGATAACAAGCGTGCACATTTGTTGGACACTCGATCAAAATTGCTTTGTCAATAGATAGAATGAATGAATATTCCGTCGGGTTTGATACAAATGAAGAATATTCTTCGCCCTTGTCGCTCATTTTTTTTTTTTTGTGTTCTAAAATCTGTTATTAGGCATTTTTCTAGCGGCTTAAGTCACTTTATATTCAAATACACGAAACTTGAGGTTATGGTAAAAGTTCAGTGCGCGTTCCATTTCAAAGTATCGAGTATCTTCCGTAAGTAACAAAAGAAATATTTTTCATTTAAAAAAGAATATATTTATGTTTATTGGTGAACAACCGTGTTATTGTTGTAACTATGAGAATAACAAATATTTATTTGCATGTATTTATCGCATCTATTGCTATTAAAGAAGACTAACTTTGACTGAAATACAAAATCTTCTCGGTCATGTTTATGCCCACACAAAGTATTATGACTAAAACGGATTTACTATTATCATTTTTCTATCCACCGACGTAAGATGGGCGTGTACTAATTTTGTTTTTTCCCCGTAATATATGCAACACCGGAAAGGAAACCGTAAGAAACCGTAAGAAAGTATATATATATATATATATATACATATATATTCTTGATCATCGTGAAATTCGGAGTTGATTTAGCCATGTCTGTCCGTCTGTCCGGTGTGTGTTGTCCTGGTCGCAAAAATGGTGATGATATCAACTTTAAATTTGATTTGAAAACATTGGCAGTTTCTGCACGCACGTTGATATTGACAATGAGCCACAATGATCAGAGCAAAACTGCGCAGTAGAGCCTAAACTGAATGCAATTCAGTTTTTTCTAATAAGAATTTTTCGATATTTCCTTGTTATTCGCAAAATTATTAAAGTTAGACGACGGAAACTGCGAACAATTGCTTTACGAGACACTTTACTTTTTCGGTTCAAAAATGCAAGCAATCCGGCCGTGTCCACACAAAGTTACAAAGTAATTAAATTTAATTTTTTTTTCGCTTTTTTTTAAAATGTAACTTATTATTTATCATAAGGTAAACAAGACAAAATGTTTAAAACTATTTTGTATACTCCTCAAATGAAGATATATTTGTCTGCCTAAAAATGAATTCATTGTAAAATGAATATGATAGACATCGCATTTCATTTTTTCTTCATAATAATACCAGCGATCTAGGTATCAAAGAAAATAATTTGAAGAGTAGAATGCGTAAAGCATAGTGATTAGTATGCAAAATTCGGCCTACCGCCGAACATAACTTTCTTCCTTGCTATATATTTTTACATATAATTTCTTTAGGCGATTTCTGTCATATTAAAAAAAAAAATAAAAAAAAAATAAAAAAAAATACAATTTTAATATTTTATATTGTACGATGCCCATGATCATCTACACGGTAGACGTGTCCTTCTACTGTAACTTCAGAATAGTGAACAAAATAGAAATTATGTAAGAAAATTTGTTTGTGTATATGCCTTTATTTTATTTTATTTTTTTTTTTTTTTAGTGAATTAAGAGATAGAAATTAAAATTTTGTTCCATTCACATTTTTATAACTGTAAATAAAAGGATGAGACGCTATAGATTTTAAGGGTGATGGTGATGGATATGCAACTAACTAACTAATTAACTTTCTTACTTTTTTCATTTTCATTGCTTTAATAATATTATCAAATATTTTCTATGTCAAAGCTTATGTAATGTAATTATTGTAATTGCCTAACATTGCCACTAGGTAAGTAGGTTTCGTTGAATTGATAGATTGTACAAAAACAATATTCTTCATTGAAGGAAATATGTTTAGAGTTATAATAAGTAAGGCAAAGTCGTTCTAAAGGTAAAAGCCAATGTCTGTAAAAATAAAAAATATATAAATAAATAAAGAAGAAAAGAAGACGACAACTATTTATATTCTATTATTCGTCTTTGACTTAAAATTAATTATCATAATTTGAAATATTGAAAACAGCATTAAGCATTAAGCTATGTTGTATGAAATCAATTTGCATATAAGATGAAAAATATTGAATTTGTGCATTTATTCATACTTACATATGTGTCAATCAGCCTTGATCTTTGTGATCTTATTTTTCTTGCGGTAGAACAAATATCGACAGATTTTTCTGTGCGTAATTGTTGTACTAAAATACACATGGCAACGAATATGGAACTGCGATCAGTACCCAGACTAAAAAAAAAACGTAATTATAAAAGAAAAGAAATTAGGAACAACATGAGATTGCCTGCTTACACACTAGTTATTCGCACTGTTTTCAAATTCGGTTACAGGCCGCGATGGACAGATGTAAATGTGCATGAAATTGTTATATGACAAGAAGAAAAGGACTCCAATGAAGCGACTTTAATTAATTACCTTACCATATTCATTAGATAATGAATGTGTACTGAAACTGAATTTTGAAGTTTTTTTAATTCAAACTTCAAGGACTGAACGGACAACATATGCACTTTGATCATTAGAGAATTTAAAAAAAATAATATGTGAAATAAGAAATATGATAAATTGAACCCATAATTTACCTGCAATGAACGGTAAGAGGAGATTTACATCCGACACTTTTATCTTTGCTGTGATGACTTAGAGCTTGATCAACCAATTCGATAATACCTCTACAAACTTCAGGTACTTCGCCTTCTACCGTCGGCCAGCCATTATATTGAAATTGAGTTACTTTTATAGTATCGTTAATTTTACAATTAGTCACATCAAATTCTCGTCTGGTATAATATGGACAACTTTCACTTTGCATATATTTAACAAGAATATGATCAAATTGTATTTCATCGTCTGCCCAATATCTTGGACACTTTCGAGGACCATCCCCAATCTATTCATAAATATAATAATATAATATCTAATATTTTTTTTTCACCTATAATTTAAGCGTCAACTCACTTCCGACAACATGATAATTGTTGTAATACTTTGCTCGGAGACCATTCTCCAAAAATCTTCAATAGTATTTTCGATGGGATCTTGTGTGATGATATAACTCTCCGAATTATCATATCCCTCAATAAATGATGCATTAATATATGTGGAATTGTCCTTATGTGGTAGAGGAGATAATATGACCTAAAAACGAAACGATTATTATATCATTATTTAATAATAATACAAATCAATGCTAATCAGTGCTATAGTATATATATATATATATATATATATATATATATGCAATATATATTATTATATAATTGTTAGTCCTATTCGTTAATGACAGCACTCGTTGTTCATGTTGTGCGTTAATTATACGCATGCAAACATGCATGGATTTTTATATAAATCTTTTATTTTACCATAAAAAAAAATTCCTTTTTATATCAATCACCGAAAGATGAGGCGTATATTCGTTTCGTCCAAACATTTATATCACCTACAATTAAGCTTCAGCAACACTCTAAAGTATATATATAACTCTTAATTAGCATTAAATGCTTAGTTAATTTAAGCATATACGTCTGTCCGTCTGTGCGTGCATTCTTCTTCTGGCGAAAATTCGGCAGAAAAATTAGAAATTCTTGCACGTAGATTGATACTGAAAATAGGGCAAATGGATCGAAGGACACACCTACAATACTAGGTAAACTGAGAACATTTCTGTTTTCAAAAAACAAAAAAAAAAAATTGGTTCTTTTCCCCATTACTCACTCATAAACTATAAAAATGTGAACGCATATTCCATACACGTTACTGTAGTGTTTGCACACACACACACATACACACACAAATGAAAGAATTCGACCATATCCATACAATCTTATAGTGTGCCATAATTTCATTTTTTTTTTTTTTTTTTTTTTTTTTTTGTACAAAACCTTTATAACGCATAGTAGCGACGGTGTAAAAACACTCGTAAAATATATAATTGCTTGGCCATCTTCAAAATTTGGAAATCTCTGAAGCGTGCCAATCTGCCCAACAGTGATCAAGGGACAAGGGCCTGTTACACCCACATGTCTATGCAACAATAACTGGGAACACCACATTACACAGATACACAATATAAAGTTCCACTTTTATTCTAAAAATCAAAATAATTCGGTAACGCCCACCTATTATTATGGAGTATGGAAATTAAGTTTCTCCGTTGTTTTTTTTTTTTTTTCTTATTTGCCTTAGGATAACGTTGATGGGTATAAAATATTCGATCGCGGCCGAATATAATTTTCTTGCTTTTTTTTTTTTTCAAGTACTTTACAAGACAATTTATTCTGATTACGGGTTAGTAATTTGGCCAAAGATATTTTTTCCAATTAGTAATCTACATCTATATATATATATATATATATATATATATATATATACATACCCGATTTCTATCATAGGGTATGACAAGTTCACTTCTGTTCTTTGTTGCATTTTGTTCACTGGCTCCGACAGAACACGATTTATTCGTTTCATCGCTCATCATCTGTAATTTCTGAAAATTGATTCATGAAAACAACATATATAATATATAATAACATATAAAATCTGCTTTTCAAATTTAAATACATCGTTAATGGCGTATGTAATGTGATAATCACTGCTCAATCTATAATTCTCATTAAATTGATTCTTTCTTTCTGGATAAGTTATTTAATAAAAATGATCGTAAATATATTTATCATAATTTTAAATTAATGAAATAAATTCGAAGGCTAAAAGAAAAGATGACATTGGGCAGTAACAACATAGGCTATGGCTATCGGTTATAATTTCTAAAAGTATTAATATTCTATTCTGTAGCTGATTATAGAGTACGCATGCGCAGGATTAATCGCTCCAAATGCAATATGTCTAGGCAAGGAAAATTTAGGGCAGTCACACAGAAGGTGCTTAATAGTGAGCTTCCATTCAAAATTGTAGATTGTGGAGGAAGGCTTCGTTGCAATGACAACGTTGCGTGGCCAAGGCGAATTCTCCAAAAAAATATTTGGATCTTGATTTTCTTAACATTTGTTCGATATAAAGATGGAATTAATTGAGGGTTAATAGAAGAAGAGTAGGGCTGACGATGATATTGTTGTAGATTTCCTTCTATAATTCCCTCTTGAACTTTTCTTTCAAATACATCCAACTTTTCCATGACATCATCTGTAATAAGAGACGCGGAAACAGCGTACTTGCTTGTTACCCAATAAACCGAAATGACTTGGCATCCAAAGCATTTTAATTTTCTCACCGGGTCCTGTAATGATATTCTTCAATTTGTTGATGATGTCCCATCTCAAAGTCGAAGAATTCCTTATAGCTTTTAATACAGACAAGCTTTGCGTTTGTCTTTATGATATACAGATTTGCAGCCAATCTAGAAGTGAATTACTAAACCCATGCAAAAGCTTGGCAATCCAAATTAGTGAACATAATTCATTCTTCATTTACGAAGCTTTACACGCATATTAAGACGACTTGATATTAAGATGAAATTATAGATAGATAGATAGATAGATAGATTTGATTTTTGCAGATTACCCTGAACGGATTGAACAGCTTATAATTTTCTGAAGAATGGCTAAGAATATTAAAGTTATTCTACCCTTAATAAGGTGAAGACGTCAATAGTATTAACTTTGTTAACTTAACTAAGAATGTAACGCATAGGATAAGCGTATGTTTTCCCACTAAAGATAAGGTTAAAAGTAATAATCTATTTTCATAGAGTGGCAACGAGACTAGAGTGGCCAGGATCACATGTCAAATTACTGAGAGCGACATGTAAATGATTCTATTGAGAATCAACGTAACATTTATGAAAAGGAGACCGCAAGGACATGATGTGAATAACATCAAAAATAAACCGGTTAGTTTAAAGGACAAAATAATCAAATAGCAAAATGTATAATAATTTTTTGTAAAAATTTACCTCAAATTCAATTTCCAGTTTACATTTTTCTTTTCCATCCTCGGGTTTCGACTTTAAGTTTTCAACTGTTAGCGATAAGCCAACAACGCTTAGCTCGGTGTTTCCTAAATGAGCTGTATCCAGTAGGGCTCGATATAGAAAGATATATTGTTTCTGAAATTTAAAAAAAAAAAAAAAAAAAAAAAAAACAAATTCTTTTTAATTTTTTCATTCACTTTCAAGTCGCGTTAGCTAACTCTATTTATGCCCTACAAAGTTTATGATAGACACACTATCTGCCCATCCGCAAGTCGTAAATTTTAACGGCATTTGATACACTACAATCGGTGAGTAGTAGCATTTCGGCATACATTATTGATGCGAAAGATGTATACATCAAATGGGCCGATCTTTTGAACCCCCTTCCATATAAACTTACTTGCCTATAAAAAATAAGTATTTATAGGATATATTATAGTTTAAATTTTTAACATTTTGAAATGAAAATTGTTTGATAATAGTACTTTGACATACATATTAACTTAACAATAGTTGGATAAAGCAGGTCTATTTTTTCAACGCCATTCCGTGTATACGATGCTCATGAAAAGTAAGCTTTTCTATTGTAATAAAAGTCTTACATTTAATACTCATGATGATGATGATAATGAGGTCTTTTGAAAAGAAGATTAATTGCACTAAATTTGGACATTTGAATATCAGTCCACAATTTTGCGCTCTCTCTCTCTCTCTCTCTCTCTCTCCCATATAAGAGCTATGCTCATTAAAAACTATGCTTTTGCACTGCACTATGTTCTTCCAACTTTTTGTATTTTATGGCGAAAATAAGCAAAGATTTCTTGATTAGGAGGAGTAGTGTAGTGCAATTAATCGTCGACCTTGCCCAACTAAAATATTGTTAGGTGTAATTTAAGTAGATTTTGAAGATCCATTATTATTATTATTGTACTGGAATAAATACAGGTGAAGGCTACACATATACTTTTACTTATGTACTTATGGTGAGAAAATTGAAATTTACAATTTTATCAATAGTCTGACAGAAATTATGCGCCTTAAAAATGATTTTATAATATTATCCCGAGATGAAGCGAAGTTAAGTTAAATCAATTGTTTTAGAGTTGTATTAAAATTATTTCAATTACTTAGCTTAGTGCTCTATATTTGTATTCGATCGTTCGAGCATTTATAAACAATTTATAGATAGATAGATTCAACTGTATTTGAGTAAGTTCTACATTATATCAAAAAACTTTACTTCTCTTACCAATGATTGAACCAAGAAATTCCTCTGATGTCGCAAATCGCAAACTGTATTAAAAATGGATACTTGTTCCTCTTCCTCTAATTGTTGCAATAGTGAATCTAGGGCCACTAGTGTACCTGTACGGCCTACGCCGGCACTACAATGAACTAATATCGGACCGCGTTGTACGGAGTAAACAGCATTTATGTGACGAATAAATTTAACAAGACCATGGGGATGTTCCGGAGCCATAAAATCTTTCCATACTAAGTAATGATATTGGGTAATTTGACGACTCTCCTCCTCGTCATCATTCAATGGACTGCGCTTATATATATCTAACGTTCTGATTAGATAGTCGCCATGTTTCTTCTCCGATATAAATTTAACCGCAATATCGCCATATTGCTTTAAATCTAAGATTTTTTCTGGCCAATATTTAGCGCATTTTGTTTTATTATATTCTTCTAAATTAGTTAGCATGACAATAATTTCCAAGTGTTGTTCCCATATCATACGCCAAAAATCGTTAACGGTTGACTCCATAGGACCTTGAGCGCAAATAAATTTTTTCCTTTCCTTATAACCGATAACGAAATTTGCATTTATATAATCGGATCCTTGAATGCCATTTATTTGCGATAATTTTACTCTTGTTTGATCATAGGCCTTAATATCGGGATAGCGATTTTTTGGAGCGTTTTCTTTTAAATCAGAATTTTTAGTAGTGCGATCACTAAATCGATTTGGAAGCATTTCATATTCACGCAAGAATCCATAGTCTGTATCTTTATGACGATTTTTATACGCCATATATAAATCTGCTTTTTGAATGGGACCCACATCTGTTATTTTACCGTTTGCTGAACCAATAAAATGACGATGATTGCTGGAACGACCACCAAACAGGACACGACTGTAAAACACAAATTTCGAAAACTTGATCAAATAAAGTAAATAAAATAATAATAAGGACTAAGTACCTTATTATTTTTTTTTTTTTATATATTTACATACCTGATAAATGAATTGCAATGATTTAACTAACCTTAAGGAATCACGTAGAGTTATCACTTCTTCGCCTGATCCTGAATTTTTCGAATTCGAATGGTACAGAAAGCACAATACTATCAAAACTACCAAGACTATACCGATCAAGATAGCTAAGATTTGTATTACGATGTTCAGCATAATTGAGATATCAGTGTTGCCATTGTATTGCTCCACAGTAGATCCAGGAGTGATAATTTCAAAGTAATCGCTATAAGCTCTTAAAACCGAAGAATTATTGCGCACTAGAAAAATTGTTTTTCAAGTCATAAGTTATTTTCAAAATTTTCCTAATTCTTAGGACATAAACGGCATTCAATCGTCGGAAACACAATGATTAGAAAAAGCCATATTTCGATTTCGAAATCTCAAATCTTTGTATTTGATTTCAATTGAATTTTATTAGACCGGCAAAAAATCACTTATATAACCCACCCAATCTCGAGAACTCTTTCGTGCAGTTTCTCAATTGCTTCTTACTTTTGTAAAATGAACTACACGCATCCTGCAGACATAAGTAAAATTTCAATTGTTTTTAAGGCAAATCCATTTGACGCATACGAAACCAAAATTTTAATATCGATTCGGTCTGTGCGAAAATATTTTTTGTTAAAAGTGAGTGATTGCATTGCAAAATTATTAACGATTTGAAGAAACAAGTAATATCTTCTCTTTCAAATCGCAAGTGATTTTATATTTCCTTATATGATATCGAATATACGCAGAAATATCATATTTTTCCCATAAATTAGTTCACATTTGAGTTTTTATATTAACATTGTAATGATCGATAGTTTGTTTTTCAATCAATATACCTTAAGTTAATTTTTTTTTTTTTTTTTTTTAATTTGTCGGCTTAACTATTAGTTACAAATTCTCAAAAGGACCGTCAAAGATATCCTATTATTCATTAATTAGCAATTTCTCCTACGTTTGTTGTATGATAAATTTAAAGACATTTTTGATCGGGTTTGACTCTCTCTTATATTTTATGCCAAGAACTAAGAATTATTGCAATTTCAATCTTTGAGGAAAAGCGTAGAAGCCTGAAAGCAACACTATTTTGAAAACTTTAGCTTTGATAACAGATACCCATGTACATTGGGTCCTATTTTTAATCTTACAAAATTTTTCATTTTCTTAAAAGATTGCGTAACAAAAGAATATAGAGACTGTTATGTTTTTGATCAAGTCTGATACTTAGCTACCTTTACAATTCGTACAAATAGCCGCAGCTCTTTAGATTGATTGATCTAAGTCAAGATTCATGATAATTTGGATTAGGGGACTATCCTGGTCTTGTTTGAGTTTAATTTTACTGAAATGTTAAATTACAAACGAGTTGCCAGGCTTGAAAATGTCGAATCCCCATGTCAAATGCCTAGGTAGGTACCCTAGCGAATTTCTAGCAAATCTACAAAATAGACTTTTTTTCTGCTTAGTCGCATTTTCTCGCCGCCTCGTGATATCGAACGAATAGGCCATTCAATCGGCGCCAATTCATCTTTATAACAGTGACATAATGTAGGTATATATATATATATATATATATATATATTTTTCCTTTTTATCTAATTTTAATTCAGTTCATTTTTTATCCATTAAGGTAGTTTGTTTAATTAATTATATTCGTTTTCTCCTTTCTCCAATTAATAAAACACATGCTATTATTCATCAATTTGAAATTTTTGTAGCATTTTACAATGCTCTTTGATGTTAAAATTTTTGGCGGCAAAAACTGACAGCGTCACCATTGGTGCGATTAAACCTAGTGGAAAGAGCCAAGGTCACTTGGGTATTAAAAGAAATAAAATTCAAAAAAACATTCTCCGATCCTACGTGCTGTTTATTCCTGCAATCCCAAACTTCGGAATAATTTCATTTTGAAATTAAGCAGTTCCTGGATCAAATGTCATAGTAAATGTAAGTCCATTACATACCAATGACTTCCAGAAAACCCGTATAATTGCTATTCATGTCAATTTCTCCGTCGTATATTTCGTCTGGCGTTCGAGAAATACCAATTGATTTTGACTCGGGTCCTAACTCGGTTAATTCCACGCCATCACCAAATATCAATTGTGATTTTCTTTTTCGACGTCTTTTTGAGTTAAGAATTTTAGATGCAGCTTCTGTTAAATTTCCAGCTTTGTTCAGTTGCTCCAGATGACTGTGTTCTATTTGCGTAAGTATTTCTATAATTTAAATGAAGAAAAAAAATTTGTTGTTAATCTAAAAATTCCAGCGTATATTTAATTTGAATCATCAATTGAAATGAAAATTTCATTTTCATACGCACCTGATATATCCTTCAATGGTGATATATCCAAACTTCGTTTTAAAAACGGCTCGCCTTTTAAGCAAGTTCTACATGCGATATCTACTATATCGGTAGAGTAACCATCATTTTCGAAAAATCGCTTTCCGTCGCCAAGGAAAATTTCAGACTTAAAACTATTACCTGAGAACATTTCGGCAAGATACGCCCCACCAACAGAGTTATTAGGCGCATGCACTTCGTTATACGTAGATATATTAAGTTTATCAGGAGAAGGTAAATCGGTGTTATGACTTCGCATCCTTATTAAATATATTCTGTAACAGCATATTGGCCCATTTCTTTCACTTACTCTTGGAATGAATAATTTAAAGACGCATTTGTCATCATTTGTGCGTACTTTCGTCCACATCACGCGTGTAATTGTGTCAGGCACCGATACCGGCATCGTACACTTGCCAATAGCTGATTCGCCTGTTTTTCGATGCCGCGTTATCGCTGAAACTGCAACTGTATAATTTGTATTTGAATTAACACCATCATAGGTAGTTCTGTAATGAGGTTCATCGACTCTACGAATCTTCGGTCCCCACGTTTCATTTTGCATTTGACCATTTAGTCTATAATAGGCTCTGCCTTCCAAATGGATAAGATAAGAAACTACTCTCCCATTTGGTATTTTAGGAGATTTCCACATAATATCAACAGTGTTAATTTTGGATATATTATGATGAATGCAAGCGACTTGCAAATCGGTTGGCTTGGATGCAATACCATCCATAGTAGTACCGTTTACTGTATCAGACCACGTTCCACAGGTCTTCGTGAGGTCACTACAAGCTCTTACTTTAAATTCATATTCAGTGGCAGTTTTCAAGTTATCGAACATGTATGGAAGATTTCTAGAGTTTTGCTGATAAACTGTTTCTTCAACGATACGTGATACCTCTCCCGCCTCAGATACCACTAGCTCATAATATTGAACAAATGGTAGCAAATCGGGTGAAGGGGGATCCCACCCAATAGTAATAGTGGACGCTGTGCTACCAGTAGTTTTCACTTTCGGTATAAATATCGGATCCTTTTCAAGCGTAGTCACCAGTCCGGGATATTGATAGGTTAAACCGTCACCAATGCTGTTTTTGGCAGTGATTCGTAAAATGTAGCTTGTGTTTGGTAAAAAATTTTCCAGGATATATGACATATTGCCTCCACCTATTACATCCTTATAGTAAGTGAATGTTGGATTTCCTTCTTCAGTATACTGAATAAAATACTTTTGTATGGGATCATTTCCATCGTTTACCGTCCAGTTTAAATAGATCTTACTTTCACCTACTGCCTTTACATAATCGATTCGAACTTGTGGCACATCCATTACCAGCAACGCGATATTTTTTCGTGCAACTTCATTGCCATCAGCCTCAAATACCACGCAAGCATATGAACCGTTCTCTTTTTTATAAACTTCAGTTAACTCTAATGTGTGATTAACATGCGTTGCGTTTATTTTCTTCAGATTTGATGATTGATCCAAGAAGCTAAATGAATTCTCATCCTTTAGCCACTTTAACTGCTGATGCAGTGTATCGTTTTGAGGATACACGTGGACAACGCAAAATAAAGTTACCGCATTGCCAATTTTTTGCTTAACTCGAGGACCATTACCATCACTTATCACCGGAATGACGATAGGTTGAACAAACATTTTTTGATAAACCGCGTTATCGGGCGATTCGCATGTGTACATACCCTCATCTTCTACTTGCACATTTAATATAAATAAACTTATTTCGTATTCATGGTTCTCAAATATCTCATTTGTATTGTTTTCTAATTTACTAATTTCGACAAAATATCTGCAAAAATACAATAAAGAAAACTTTTTTTAATAATTCTTATGTAACACTAGAAATAATTCTCTTACTGGACTTACCTTTTGCCATCGATTTCAAGTTTTTTATCTTTAAACTTCCATGTAACATTTTTGTCGTTCGAAAAACATTTGATTGTGATATTGCTACCGATTTCAACACCACTTAAACCTGTAATTTTTTGAAATAATTAAAATATTTGCAAAAAAAACAAAACAAAGCTACTACACAAACTGCCGATGGAATATATTATATTAATATATCTAGATCGTAAAGCATTTTCTAATGGCGAACAATAAAACTAATTTTTACACCTACCACACAAGATATTTGCCAAACGTTTGTATAATATGTACAATTTTGATCAGCGTGAATAACGAAATAAAGATTTAAAATATTCACTTTCGTCGACTAAGTGCGCCCTATAGTCAAGAGGGACGTACGATAAAATCTGCTTACAAAATGGTCGAACTCCAGAAAAAAGATTCTGGAGAAAAACGATCGGAACAATGTCTATGCACACCAAGGTGTCCCTTAATCCAAGAATATTCTTCTGTTAACTGTATCAAATGTTCTATCTGAGAATGACAATCATCCCACTACCATCCATTCATATATATATGTGGCTTTAAAAGGAAATACACATCAAGGTTTCTCAATAATCTTAGCCAATCAGACTATGATAGTAATTCCTTTATGATTATCATTAACAAGTACTCGTACTACATAGCTACTTTCAAGATAAATCCCTATCAGAAATAAGTCCGTAGCGCTTTTTTGAAATATTCGATCAGTACGCGTACAATCTTGTAAGGAGTTAAGATGTCGTTTTCGATCTCTTTTCAGATCATATTTTTGAATAGAAGACAAGGCCGATAAAAGTTGTTACTTTTTTTTAGTAATAAGCTTTTTGCCCCTGCAAAAATGAGCACAATATTTGAAGTCATTTCATAAATATGGTTATTTAAGAACAATAATGATATATAAAAATATTATTAAAAATAAATCATATAAGATAAGATAACGAAATAAATTTATGAAATACTGTGTGAATTCGTTAAGTAGAGGGGCGAAACTGCAAGACAACTTTTTATTACTTTCTATTAAACAAACGCTTTCTTTTGAACGTTAGTACGTTTAATGGAAAATATCCTATTCGCTGTGTGCTCCAGGAAAATCACTTCGGTACGTGAATGCGTACCACTTAAAAGTGTAATTGCACTATATAGGGACTGGATTTTCAAATTTCTCTTTCAAGTCTAATTCTTTGATTTTTATTTAAAAATTTTAAACATTTAAAGACTTCCATTAAATCAAGAACAAAAACGAAGAACTCTCGCTGTAATCCTTCGAACATAACTCATGCCATATATATTGGGAACGCTGCGGAGTGATTTTGTACAAAAAATCAAATTTTCCATCTCCGGGAAATCTCCATATCAATTCGTTTAGTAAGAGACTTTCGGCTAAAGGCTATATGAAAGAATTAGGCAAACTTGAACAGAAAGACTAAATTTATACTAAAGGATATCCGTATTGACAGTGGCTAAAATCCGTATAAAATAATTTATTAAATAAATTGGCTAAATCTTTGCTCTGTTGAAGCATTAAGCTGCGATTAAAGTTAAATGAATAAAAATGAAGAAGTAAAAATTTACAAGGGTTTTAAGCAGCGATTTGCATAATTCATACCAAAGATAGGCCATAGATGTTCACGCTTACGCCTTCTATGCACGATTATTTCATATAAATGTCATAAAAATTGCTACGAATTTCGATTTGTTTTTATATTTAGATATAGACTTATCTACCTGAACATTTTTGCGGAATCACATAAAAATTTTTAGATTCAAATTCCTATTTCTAACTTGGGCCCGTTATTGTTATTATATCTGCTATCTGTTACTATAAAATTAGTGTCATAGGCGCGCATTAAAAGAGACGGACAAGCTAAATAGTAACGTCTCTTTTAATTGATCTAAAGCATTGTAGTTCATAAGCAAAATCAATTAACTTATTATTTATTTTCTCTTCAAGTGGATCGACCATACCATTCACATTAATAGAGAAATTATTTGACTTCAGAAAGCAACATGACATTCCAAGATATTTAGTGCTTATCCTTTTACTAATAGAGATAGAGTTAACGAAATTATAAAAGTGTATGTATTTAGATATGTAGGTGTCTATCTATATACTACGAAAAACGAGTAAACAATACTCAAAAATATTGTATCAGTTCAATGCACATTGGACTAAAGGGCGTCGGCATTAAGGAAGCGAAACGATACGCACTAGCTTTACACAAAAGCAATTAAAATATATCAATTGCCGTTTTACCTTGTGTTTTTCCAGAACTACATCCTATGGCGATTATCAATATATAAAATATAATCATTTTTAATAAAGTCGATGGAACAAGTCTCTGGCTCCAACAATTCTCTTTGTGCGACATTTTTAATTAAGTAATGATGGTTATGATAAATTTAATTACAGTTTAATATTTAGGCCAAAGACTATGCGATGGACAGTTAACACTAACACTAAGTAAGTAAATTATGATTGTAAACATTACAAATTTGTTTTAATTTATGTAAAAACATCACGATTCGCAATTTAAAATCTAAACACTCGGCTGGGTGAGCTTCGCAGTTTCAATTACGCAAAAATCAATACAAAACATCAACCATGTAGAGTACTTTTTTAAGGAATCATAAATAGTAGTTTCAGGAGTAATGAAATATATCTAAATACTCACGCTGCCTAATATGGTGCAAACACAATACGATTTTGAGCGCTTTTCATGCTTCTCAAGCTGCAAAATAATATACATGTTTTACTATATTGTTTGCGAAGAAAAAAAGATATTGATGTAAATATAAATCAGTAAGAATTTTTTTTGCAAAAAAAGCAAAAGAAAGTTAAAATAAATGTAAATAACCAAATATGAAAAGGATTGACTTAAAAATAAATAAATAAACATATTAATTGGTAATATAAAAAATTTTAAAAATGAACGTAAATATATCCCTTTAAATGTTGTTCCAAAGTTCTGCACTATGACAATTCTTTACATTCATTTAATTTTTTATTTCGCTAATAAAAATGCATATTTACTTTTACATTAATTTTCTAAATTTTAATTTTCATATATTAGTGCTTTATGCATGTTTATATTAATTATCTTTATTTTTACTTTCTAAATCACATGTTGACTGTTGATATTTACATTAATTTCGTCATTTTTACTGCTCAAACGGTAAGCCAGACAAGCGCGGCATTTTATATGCTTATGAAATGCGATTTAAAAAGCCTGATAAGCGCCCAAGATTTTATTGTGTAAGAACCTAAATATGCTATATACAAAGTTTGTCGAAACGTTCATAATATACGTAACAATGAGATGTATATCATGGCAATCGCAAGTCCATAAATTAATGAATTTTCTACATATTTCAAAATTTATAAATAACACTACTTTTACACGTTTAATACTCAATAAGTTTATAAAGACATTCGTTTGACACGTAAGTAAATATTTTCTTAGAATTTTTAGAAGAATTTATTTATGAATTTTTCAAAAATGGTTGAGCTTAATCGCAACGCCATAATTGTCCGGCTTTAACACTTTATAGGTTTTGTTCAGATTAATATTGTTCCACAAATATTAAAATGGCCAAAGCAAGCATAAAATTATAAGCTTGGATTTATAACCCCGAAACGTAATAGCGTTGAAAATGAGCTTACCGAAGAAAACGCTTTTGCTGAGTGCTTTTAGAATTCAGTTTGAAAGGGAAATTTCCTTTATAAGAATAGACACCAGATTGTTTAATAAGTAATAAATCAGTTATTGCAATGAAAACATTTCACCGGAATTTGATAACCCTACCGATATAGTTTCTTTAAGCACCGATATGTGAAGCACTTGGATAGGTTTTCATTGCGTTTATCAAATGAAAGCATATCATTCCGAATGTTGAATCCCAAATTTTATTTTTTAACGGATTCAGAAAAATCATGCACTAACAACCAGTGAGTCGAAAAATATATGTTCTTCAACAATTTCAACAATTACTTTGTGAATTCTTCCAAAGGCACAAGTGTAAATAACGTAGGTCATTAAGACAATAAATAAATATTCAATTAACTAATTCTATTTTTTATTAAATTTTCCTTCCACTTATTTGAACAGCCATTCTCATTTGAAAGTAGTTAATTCCATTTATACTATTGGGGTCAATACTTTATACATCATTTCCTATTTATAACTGTAGCCCACATAGACATTGATTTGTAAAGTGTCATAAAGTGGGTCACAAAATCCCCAAAATTACTACATTTTTATACCTTACCAACAATACAAAGTTTCTTATTTGACAGTGCTCAATGTTCTCTTTTCAATGTAGCCTGTGTTCCATTCCACTGATACTTTGTCTTAATGGAACTTTTTATTGCTGCAAAATAATTAACAACGTCAGAAGTTAAAGTACGTGTCACTTATTGGTTTTTCATCGATTTTATTCTTTGTAATGCACACAGTTTTAACTAGAGGCAATGCAACGGTAGCTTACACATTATCAGTGTTGGCATGCCTTACATTCTGCTGTTTTATATCCACAGTTTTTCTGGACTATCGAGTTCCTTCGAATATCAATACCGGCAAAATTCTGGTGTAAGTTCGCTACTACTATATTCTATATTTTACTGTATTTCATGTGTGCTTATTTGCTAAAACCCAATGAGGCTTTGCTTTACATCTAATTTTTCATAACCCCCAATCGAGGAATATTAAGAGAAAAAATATATATAAAATATTACTTTTAAGGTTTTTTCTTGATATTTTAACAGAAAAAATGTTCCAGATTATGGAGCGTCCAGAGAAAAGCATGACTTGGGTTTCATTACATTTGATTTGGAAACGAATTTGTCCACTTTATTTAATTGGAATGTAAAGCAGTTATTCCTTTTCCTTACTGCCGAATACAGAACTAATAACAATCACTTAAATGAGGTCGTTTTGTGGGACAAAATAATATTAAGAGGTGAAAATACTGCTTTGGATTTCAAGAATATTAACACGAAATATTATTTTTGGGATGACGGAAACGGTTTGAGGTACTTTGTTACTTACTCTTCTTCGTTTAAGAATGTAGAAAAATTAAACTTTATGTATATATTTTTAAAGGAATAATAAGAACATAACCCTGTATTTGTCCTGGAATATCATACCCAACGCAGGTCTATTGCCTACCATTAAGTCCATTGGCTCACATGTGTTTGGATTCCCTTCAGAGTATGCAGCTGCTCCCATATAAATACTATCCGACCAACTTTGTTTTAGTTTGGTTACGATTAAAAACAGAGTAGACATTAATTGTAATAATTCATTTGACATATTTTAAAAATAGCCTCGACGGGAGTTTTTTTGAAAGTAAACACGAATATCTAGTAACATTGAAATATATGTACGCATTTTAAACAATTATAATTCTAAGAAAAAATACAATTTATAACTGTATTAACTTTTAAATCAATGTCCCAATAAAAATAAGATCAGAAAAAGGTAGGATGGTCATGGAGGTGTAAGGCATAAGATTATAGGCGGAGTCTGAAGAGTGCGAATGAAAGTACCCTGCATTTAAAATTATCTCGTAAATTGCATAATTTTATAGAAATTTATAATTACGAATTGAGTAAAATTGTAGATATTTCTTCAAACCCACAATTCGGCAGGATCGCGTTCACATAAAGGCCAGTAAGTATAATGAAGAAGAGTCGAGACTGTAGTCTACAATTTGTTGGGTTGGTATTCTAAGAGGTCACATTCACTCAATAAAGGACGACTATCCCCGAATAATTAATTAAAAATAAGTTACATAAGTTGAGTGGTAAATAGGAAATGCTTCCCATATTCTTATCGTGTGTGAAACGTCCTTGTGCCGGGAAAATTTCAGTCTGTTTATGAAACGACATTCTAATCGACAACGTGTAATTTATAGATAAGAAAATGTTGATATCAAATGCAAAGTTACTTTTCAAATCTCGCTCAATTGTCCGATCAAATGGACATGCTCACATTATTTAAAACATCATATGTATCTATTGATTTGAAAGTTTCTAAAAAGGTTTTTAAAAAAAGGAATCAGAAACTATCTTAAACCTGAATGAAGATTTCACTCTTATCTTAAACACATGCCGTTTTTATATTTTGATTGCGTTTTTATTACACGTTTGTTGAATGCAGTAGTTTTGTGCCGTTTTTCCCGGCGTCTATGAGTTGTTTTCTGAACATAGTTATGGTGGCGTTTGGATTGGATTACATTGCAGAGTTTAACGTTTTTACACGTTAAACGCTGAATACTTTCAAAACATTCCAAACAAACGATTCAATGGCAGACATTCATTTCAATTGATTTCAATTGATTAAGAAGTATGTCCAAAAATTTTCATCTTCTGGTAAATATATGCACACAATTTCAGATTGACGTTATAAATAAAATTTTTGAATTTTGCTGTCTTTGCCTACTTTTAGACCATTAATGACGTGTTTGTGAGCGATTTGTTTCAATCTTGACAATCAAAAATTTCGAGGAATTCTGGCAATAGAAAAAGCCAATCTATTCTTATCAAGAGTAAGCACATCAGCATTATCTCCGCCATCTCAATCTTTAATATATGCTTAGCGATGCTGTAAAATGGACATATACTGCTCCCTCCTTTTATTACTTTTAAAGAGTATAGCAGCACAGTTAGACGAGACACCTCTTTATGGCAAAAAAAAAAGGAAGGAAAGAAAATCTAATTGGAAAACAGGAATTCAATAAATTTAAAAAAAAGTCTTTTTTTGCTTATATAGACTTAGAGTAATGCGCTGTAATTATTTTTGTGATTGAACTTTATTAAAATATGGTAACCTGTTCCGAAAGAAATTTATAATTTCAAGTGACTATTCAATAAAGAGTGAATTTTGTATTTATTTCGTGATTGATAATGTGTCCTTTGGTAATTGTAAAATCCTTTGGAAGTGGGAAATCGGAAGAAATCATTAAAAGTATGATGATTTCGTTTATTATTAATTACACCTTCTCATGTTTAAATACATTTATCTGTCTACGTCGACAAATAAAATAAGTCAATTTCTAGATGTGCCTGGTTTATAATATAGGCATTAACATCATTGAATCAATTAGATTGCAATAAAACGACTTCTAAATGAAATTTTCAATTTCAATATGGCAATTATTAGGAAAAACATATTTGTCGATAAAATATTCTTCTTATGTTTGCATCTTGCAATCTCTTTTTTTTTAAGGGTGATATCTATCAAATTTAATTAACGGAGATGTATCTAATTAGAAATAGTAGAAAATTAGAAACCTTAAAAGTTTATTCTAAAATATATTTAAAATAGAAAAAAAAAGCAGATATATATATATACCATAATAAATTATGTGAAAGATGTGCTGAAAGGACTTCAACCTTGTGCATGAATATGTGAATATATTAATTTAAGTGTCCTTTACGTGCGATCCGCAACTCTACTCAAAGTAGTATATTCTTGGAAAATTCGGTATTATAGATCGCAATGTATAGTGATAAGACAATTATTCGAATTATGAAATTAAATACTGAAAATAATTGAGAAATTGGAAGCTATGATAAGAAAATTAAATACTGTTATCTCGAATGTCGCGTTGTGTTGTAAATCATAATAAAGCTATGTACATTGGTTATATGACTAACTGTTATATGTTAGAAGTAATTGCCTTCCTTATTTTTATTATTCCTATTTACAAAAGATGCTAAAACGATATGCAAAGATAGACTTAATAGTAATAATAATAATAATAATAATAATATCTGAATTTGTTCATTTTTGCGTTAATGAAGATTACATCATCGTCAACGATCATAGTTGGCTTCTGACTAAATTTCGGCCATATTTTATGCAAATGAATACAAAGTAAACATACCTAAAGAAGCTACAATAATTTTCTCTATTTGTATTTCTAGATATTTTAAAGGTCACCGATCAGCAAGAAGAACAACTAGAATTCAAATTTGATTCCTTTAACTTGAGAGCGTATAAATGTGATCTTATCACTAAATATTATGAAACACAAGTTGCTTTGTTTGGATTTGATGAAGATTTGACATCAATACCTTCAGATATTTTAAAGAATATTGAGGCGGCGTTATTCTATTTCGATTCAGATGACGTAAGTTAACGTACATACAGACACACATACAAACATTTATATATATATAAACATATATATCATGTCACGCAATTAAGATGTAATTTATGTGTAATAAGCGTTAGTATCAGACTTGTCTTGATTTAAAAATTCTTTTCACTCATACAAAAAATGAATGGAACAAGCCCTTAGATGTCCACGAGGTTAGGAAACAAAAAGTGGTTTTACTTGATTAAGATTGTTAAGGTTGTTTCGCATCTTAAGAATCAAGTTTGAATAATATTTTTGTTTAAACTTTACATTGTTCGTGATCGAGCAGACTTCAATTGTCTGGAGGCCAATAAAAACAGGCCATCTTTAACATATAAAATATATTGCTTGAAATAACTTATATTTGCTGAATTATAAAATCAGTAAGTTAACTCGAATGCACAGTGGAACAAAAAGTTTTTTTTTTCATTTTTGAGTTTTTCAGAGAACGGATTAGGATTACTTTGCAATTTTTTTTAGTTCATGTCATCGAATCATCCTTCTTTTATATTTTAAATTTTGCCCACATAATTAATCTAAAGTGTAAATCCAGTTTTGTGATTTACAAAATGCCAGCAAAACACAAACATATAGATATCTGATCATGAATGTAAGCAGTTTCGAAAAATTTATATATTTGTATTTATCCTTAATTAAATTGACTTTGATCAATTCTGCCAAATTAATATTTTGTAGTTACAATAAATAAATATTCTAGAGATTTTTGATTATTAAGTATGCATTAAATATATCGATATATATATAATTAATTTTTATTGGCCCACGTAGAGGTTAAAATCAACTTCTCTCTTTTAGAGATCATTTCTGTCAAAGGTAGACTCATTATGCAACTTTGTTAAATGCAATAAGATCCAAGTTGCGGCACTTATCACACGAAATATTTCTGAAGATGATCGGCACGGTATTACTTACGGTGAATTAAAAAAACTTTGTAAATTCTGCTTTGACATTGTCGATCTGAATGATCAAAATGATCAAAATGATCTCGAACTTAACGGATGTGGAGAGTACACCGAAGTATTGGATCTTTTAAAAAATTATATATGGTCAAATGTGAAACATTCGCAACATATTAATGGTAAGTTTTTATATAAATTTTAAATAATAATATCATAGACTGCCCGAAATATAAGGGGGGTATAGATCGTTTAATTTTTGTCATAACATGGCTCCAACTAGCAAAGTATTTTACAGTTTTTATCGATACGATGGAAATAAAAGTGTGCACGAAATTAGATAAAATTATTTGACTTGTTAATGAGAGTTTTTACTAAAATATAATATACATTATTTTTGTTGCTTTACTTTATTTTTATTTTTTTATTTTTATATTCTATTACTATTGAATATATTTGATTAAAAAGTCTGCAAATAAAGCCGAGTAGTTATTATTAATATTACTGTTAGAAACGAATGCTTACATATCTATTAACTAATAAGATTTTTTTACGGAATATCTGAAAATGTAGACAAGCATTTTAAAACAAATTTGCCAAATTTTACATTGTACATCACATGATATATTCCCTTATCCTTTATAAATTTGATAAAATGAAATCTTTTTAAAATAATTAAAACAAAAAAACAAACAAAGATCATAAATAATACAAATAATTCTATACATAAATAACGGATAGATAAATAATGCTAAGGCAATATATTAACCATTTTTAAATAAAATATATATATATATTTATAACATGTAATATAGTTATATTCGGCATGGGCGGAATCTCGCATCTCCAACGCTATGCTTTTCGCATTCTACTCTCCAAGTTCTACGATAAAATTTTTCTTCCTCTCATTATGTTTCCATCGTAATTAGAGGCGTTTGCAAAATTTTAACATAATCAGTTATTAACCTCAACGTAAATATGGCAGCAATTGTTCAGAAAAGTTGGGGGCATATGCTAATAAGAAGCACTCACAAAAACTTTAGGCATTTTGAACGCGTAGCCGTTGTTGAATGATCGTTTACGTGTCAATGTGTCGATGTGATTGTTTTTGTGAAAATGCCAAAAATTAAGTGTCAAACTGTCATTATATATGTAATTGCATATGCAGTCTACGAAATATCGACCAATAGCTTTTAGCTGTTTGAATGTAGACAATACTTCATCCTAACTGGGGAGAAAGGGGGAGTAAAAGCCGGGAATGCCCGAAATACTGTATGATAGCTTATCTGTTAAAAAGTTATGTTAATAAAATCAAAGGATAATAGGATAGGGTTTCGGAAACAAAAAATGCCGGCATTTATTGATCATATGTGTATATATGTAATGTGTAATAATAAAAATGCGATATTTTTATTCTTTCATTTTAGATGCATCACATGAATCTTCGTCCGATATCGATGGCATGGAGGAGCAACTGAATAGTTTTGAAGAGCTACTTAAAAAAGTTCAAAATTTTAAAGAAACCTCGAAAACGTTAAGTAGAGAGGAAGTGTTAAATAATGCTGAAAAATTAGCCGAACTTTTTGTAAATATCATTAACGATGATTAAGTTAAGTACATGAACACATAAAATTATTGCTGTTATGTTGATTGTATATAAATAGTGATACGCTTTAAAATAATAATTGATAAAGAAAATACATTCGATAAGTGATTATTACTTAAAACAGAAAATATTTCCACCTAACAAACATTAATCGACTTTACCAAAACTTCATCATAGCATTTTTATTACATTCTGTTTCGCGAAATCGAAAGTTTCCAATATGAGATATTCAATTGTCGACTACTCGTTTACTCATTGTACGACTGGCTAGAAATGATTCCATACCATTTGTGAAGGAATTCGAATAAATAATTAAATTTCAGAGAATATATTATATATTACATCGACTTACCAGTACTAAATGTGCATACGCTCCATGTTCTCGGGCTCACGTTTTCCAACAATTATCGTTGGAAAGCACACTGTATTCGGTTAAAAAACTCCCTTTTAACAAGGGTAAATTTCATACAGTACGTTGCTTGGAGAAGCCATGCGCATATTAACACTATCGCTTATCTTACCAAAATGCTTGTGTTAAGCAAGATTGACTATGCTTTGATAATTTATGACAATAGCTGCAAATCTAATATCAACATCCTTAAACCGGTCTATCACCAAGCCGTTAGAGCAAGTTGTTATGCTTTTCGGACGACGCCCATAAATAATATTATAATTGAAACTGGTCTCCCAACCTTAGAAAATAGACTGTATGAGTTAAAAGCTAAAATAGTCCCTAAGCTTCTTAATTCAAACAAATCCATTCTCGGTGATGACGTAAGAAAGATTATTATTGCGAAGAAAATTCCAAAGTCACCATCTGCAATTGACCGTTGTTTGTGCATCGCAAAGGAATTGAACATTCCCTTAAAAATTTCCC